ATAGTTCCGTACCAAGTCTTCTCAACCATGCTCTATTTGAACTTGCATGTGTCAGGTAAGCATTCATTGCTCGGACAGAAATTCTGCATACAGAGTTACAGAAGAATTACATCAACCATGGCTCAAGAGACTATTAATCGGTTTTGCACGGACGTCAGAAGCTAACGGACCTAGGATGCCGAACAGCTTTCCACATCCTTTAATCCAAGAAATTGATTCAGAACTTCCAGTTGTGCAGCCTGCGCTTCAACTGACACACAGAATATTTGGTTCTTGCCCTCCAATGCAAAGTTTTGACCCAGCAAAGTTGCTCACGGTAGTTTCTTTTCTGTTGCAACTTCCTTTTAAATTTACTTGCTTTAATATGAGCTAGTGTTTCTAATCACAAATGTGGATTGTAGGACTCTGGGAAGCTGCAGACACTTGATATATTATTGAAGCGGCTTCGAGCTGGAAATCACAGGGTGCTCCTGTTTGCACAAATGACAAAGATGCTGAACATTCTCGAGGTAGTATCTAGACACAAGTCTTTGACCTCACTGTACAAATGAATTTGTAACTTTTACATGTAACAAGCATCCCTATCTACACCTTTGCTTTACATTTATTTTATTTTATGTTTATGCAGGATTACATGAACTATAGAAAGTACAAGTACCTCAGGCTTGATGGATCCTCCACCATCATGGATCGCCGAGATATGGTTAGGGATTTTCAGCATAGGTAGGATTTAACTTTCTCAAGCCTTTTTTTTTTACGTTCCTATGAGGCTTTCTGTGCACAAGTGTAAACCATACATGGTTGCAGGAGCGATATTTTTGTATTCTTGCTGAGCACGAGAGCTGGAGGACTTGGTATCAACTTGACGGCTGCAGACACTGTCATTTTCTATGAAAGTGATTGGAATCCCACCTTGGATTTACAAGCTATGGACAGAGCTCATCGTCTTGGACAGACAAAAGATGTCAGTGATTATTCTCTGCTTTTATTCTTCTAATCGCATTCATTTCCCAAAAAAAACTGTGCATTGACAACCAATTTCTTTGTTGCTTCTTTATATAACCAAAGTTTTATACAAGTGAACAAGCATCTGCCAATGGATTATTTTCCTGATCTCTTTTTCTGAAATGAAATCCTCTTAATAGGTTACTGTTTATCGGCTCATCTGTAAGGAGACGGTGGAAGAGAAAATTTTGCACAGGGCAAGTCAGAAAAATACAGTTCAACAGCTTGTTATGACTGGAGGGCATGTTCAGGGTGAGGATTTTCTTGGAGCTGCGGATGTGGTATCGCTGCTAATGGATGATGCAGAGGCAGCACAACTGGAGCAGAAATTCAGAGAACTACCATTACAGGTGGGGACGACTTGCTTCTTACATTTAATATTTCACGAACTTAAAATTCTGCCACTCATAACTTCTTTACGTCATCCAGGTAAAGGACAGGCAGAAGAAAAAGACGAAACGTATCAGAATAGATGCTGAAGGAGATGCAACTTTGGAAGAGTTAGAAGATGCTGAACGACAGGATAATGGACAGGAACCTTTGGAAGAACCGGAAAAGCCAAAATCCAGTAATAAAAAGGTATATATGCTACAAACTCACTCTTTTTTTTACCTTTCTTATTACCAAAAGTAGGTATCTATTTGGTTCGGTTCATATGATCTATTATGCACTAGACAAGGCCTAGCTGCAAATGAAACATGAGTTGGTCTACTTATGGAGCTTGCCATGGTGCTAAGTTGATAACTTCTGGCTTGAGTATATATACTAAAAGCATATGGTTATGTGTGGTGATTTGCAGAGGAGAGCTGCTTCAACTCCGAAATCTAGAGCTCCTCAGAAAGCAAAGGAAGAAGCAAATGGTGAAGATACTCCTCAAAGGACAAAAAGGGTAAAGAGACAAACAAAGAGCATAAACGAGAGTCTTGAACCTGTCTTCTCTGCCTCTGTTACAGAAACAAATAGAGGATTCGATCCAAGTAGCTCCGCTAACTAATCTGAAGATGATTAGATATGTTAACTTCAGGCAGGTTTTAGCAAAATGGTTCCTAGTTTTTGAGCCAAGTGTACAGATTTGACTCAGTTTTCTTTAACGTACATCGGTCTTGAGTTGAATTGAATGGTACATATATGTATAAATATTATTAATGTCGATTTAACGATAATCGTCAATTCATCACCATCTTATTTAGTGGATGCTATATTAAATTTAGTATGATATGAAGATTTTTTAACAGTCTATCTGGATTTCTATGTCGTTATTTGTGATTTATCTTTATTTTGATTGATACAGATTTCATTGTTTCTAAAATCATCGTCAGATCTTTTCTAAGCGTGATAATTTACTAGCTCCGTCAACGTAAATACGTAGCGATTCTTATAATATTGATAGCCTGATCACTTATCCACTAAATTTTTCCAAAACAAATTTATCAGTTTGAACAAGGAGATAATAAATCCCCATTCATCATCATTATTACGTAAGATTTTGATATGTATGATCACTAAGAAATGAATGTTTTGAGTTTCAACATTTTGGGTAAGGAATACCACAAGCCACTAGAAGTTTGTGAGCATTTTTAGGGATGACATAGTGACCAAACGTTGGAGTCTTTATGTAACCAAAAAGACAAGACTGCTGCTCTTTCAGCATCTCGCAACAATATGCCGGTGGCTGACTTCCTTTGAGTATCGCTGGTAAGCATGACATGAGGTCTGTCACGATGCATGCCGCTTTCTCCTCTATACCCCAACCTCTAACCACAGTTGCTCTGGTTGGAGCCAGAGATGACATGACGATCATAACAAATACCATGAACAATAATTTCGTGAACTTCATGCCTATTAGTTTTCCTCTCTAATTGTATATATTTACTTATAAAAATTATTTGAGATTTGGTTTTTAATTACGATATAACTATCACGTACTGTATAGTCATTTTAAATGGTACTGATAAATTGTTTTACAAGTGTAGAATAATTAGAAAAGAATTGAAAATATTTATTAGGAACAGATCAAATGATATACTATACCTGTATCTGTATGGATTTTTTACCATAATAGTTTACTTGCAAATTTGATATGAAAGTCAGACTTGCAGACATTCAAAGATTTAAAATATGAATAAGAAGATTTGGTATTGATAAAGAAAATGGAAATTTTGAATTCTATACAAATCTGCAAATTAGAAGAAAAAAGAAATGTACGTATCCAATGAAATTTAAAAAGTTTACAGATATTCAAGATATGCAACTTAAAAGATGAATGATAATGAGGCTTGTTGTGAATATGATATGTATTGTAAAAAGAGAAATAAAAGATGCAGCATATGAATAGGATCAGCTTAAACTTTTTTTTTTCATTAAAAACTAAAAAAAACTAAAAAAATATTCTTTACATATACTAATTTATATGTCTATATCTAAAATAATTTAACTTTAGAACCATATGACATAATAAACCTCAATCATCATCATTATATCTTATAAATATTTGAATTTTTAACAACTACGATTAGGAATACCACAAGACTTTAAAACTCTGCAAATATCTTTGTGGTAGTCAGGACTTAATAAAACACATGATGGCTCTTTCATCGTCTTGCAACAATCTGCTGATGGCTGTTTATTTGCAAACAACGCCACCCAGCATGTGGAGAACACTCTATGACACTGTAACCTTTCTTCATCCGAGATTGGTTTTGCTATGGTCGGAACTAGAGATGACAAGATCACCGTCACGAATACGAATACGATGAACACTAATGATGTCAACTTCATGTTTCGAAACCCTAACGACCGCCACTTCTCCAATTTCAATTCCTTCAAATAATATTTGAGATTTTGAGTTTTGGGTTTTGAGGGATGGTAAAAGCTATAATAAATATATGGAGTTTCAACGAATAATAAGAAACAAGTGCGAGTTTTAGGCAGTGTATCGTTATTATTTCATTATGTTGACTATAATTTAATACGATCATTATCATCAACGTGATTTGGATTGTTTTTGTTATTCATACCATTTGACAAGTATCTATGCATATTTAGATTCCGACACATATTAGCAACTTCTTACAAAATAATAAAAGTATTTAGAAATCACTGGAAACATTTAATTCCATTATAGAAAACAATCGAAGACCTTCTTACCAAAAAAAAGAAAACAATCGAAGACCTGGAATCTTTGGAAACAAATATTTCTGTTTTTCGGTCACATCCGCATATAGTCAAGGATTCGGAACTGCCTTAAACATGGAAAAGACTTGAAATTGAAAAAGCATACCAAGTGATAATAAACCAATGAGGCAATGACTAAAACTTGAAATTGATTCCATACTTGTACGTATAATCTCCCAATTCATGTGTTACTTGGCAGGCGCGATTGGCTAACCTTATAAATTGTATAATATGCTCTTCACACATATAATAAACCATGACATAATGAAACCTCAATCATCACCACTGTATCTTGGCTTTTTAACAAACAGGAAGAGCCGAAGAGGAACCCCACAAGTTGTTATTGCTTTGCGAACATTTTGACGGTTAAAAGCATGAAAAAAACGGAGGATATAAATAAAAACAAAGACATTGTGATTTTTTCAACGTTTCGCAACAATGTGCCGATGGCTGTTCTCTCGCGTGAAACGCTGGTAAGCATGCACGGAGCTCTCCTAGACACTGTGCTCTACCTCCACCCGTCACGATTGATATGGTCGGAGCTAGAGATGACAGAATAATAACTGTCACGAATGCGATGAACATTAATGATGTGAACTTCATATTTTGAAAGACTAGTGACTTCTTCTCCAATTTGTACATTTCATATCGACGTGTTGAGTATTGTCTTCATAAATTTAACATACAAAGATTATACATTTTTTTTTTTTGAATAGCACTGGATTTTTTATTAAATATCGAAAAAAGGAGAATAATATATGTAAGGATATTTTTGTAATTATTCGGGAAGAGAGGTTTATGATTTGAGCGAAAGCCTCCATAGCTGCTTATTAGAGAGGAAAATCATGGAGGGTCATCATCTTTCCGAGAATTTGAAACCTTTCTTTCACAGAGCCACTGAAGCTCAGGTTCGTGAAATTTTATTCTCTAATCATCATTCGAACACCATTAGCACATATCCATTAATTCAAATTTAGGGTTTTGTTTCTTCTGGAGTTACCGCTGAATCTAGAATTTTTTAAAATCACATTCAAAGGTATGATGAGATTAATCTCTCTCAATTCATGTTTTATTTGGCAGGAGCGATTGGCTAGGCTTGAAGCTGCTCTTGCGTCGACCAAGACAGGTTTTTTTCCTTTTCCTTTTTACAGGAATTTTTCCCAATAATCTCTGAATTCTGGAACAAGTGATTGAGTTTTATGTATTCTTTGTTATCAGACATTCCGGATGCTAAACTTGTGGAGGAGAACAAACAAATTCAGTCAAAGCTCGAAGAAGCTAACGTCACGGTGAAGCAAGAACAGACTAAGGTAATCCTCTTTCTCTTCACATTGTTGCATCACCTTAGTTTTTATCATATCTGTTGGTTTTTGGAGTTTTTGATTATGGATTTCTACTACTACTAGGTGAAGGAGTTGACCATTGAAAACGCGAAGCAAAAGTACCGTATATTGCATCTTGTGCGGGCGCTAAGGGAAGCAGATGAGAAGCTTGAGAAACTCTCTAAATGATTTCATTCTTCTTGTGATTCCTTTTCTTTAACATCCTTACTAAAGAAAAGTTTTCCTACTTTAACTGACAAGATATCATAATGGATTGATTGTTTGCCACTCTTATCTCGTTGTGTGTGTGTGTGTGTCATAAGCAAATCTGCAGTTTGTAGCTAAGCAATGTCTATACATGTCATCCCGAGGAAGAGTTGATTAAAGTTTACTCCACATTTTAAGTGAGCTTAGGAACATAAAGCATTAATGCCCACCACCTACTCTGTAGATTCAATTATAAGTTTAGCTATTCAATTCGAATCATTTTTCTTGTGCTTACATTAATACTGCATTTTATAGTGGTTTTGCTCTGACCTTAAATCATTGGTCACTTTGCTGGTTTCTTTGAATTGCTCAGAATCTGGCTGGCTGGCTGGCTGGCTGGCACTTGTTAGATTTACCAAGGCGTTGCTTAGTAGCCATTCGTCATGCTGGCTCGAGAAGCAAGGTCTAAAATCAGCTCCATGGTAAAAACTAAAAAGGTTCTTATGCAGCAATGCTTAGATCCATCAATCTGTCTCCATATTCTTTTGTGACCAAAATCATAAGAACCTCTTTTCAGCTATAGAGAGCATTGCATTTTTTTCCTTTCGATTTTGAAACCAAAAGCCTCATAAGCAAATGATGATGTGCAACACAGTGGACAGTTTGATGAACGCTTTTCTGTATTGCTCTTGTTTACGGCTGATGTTTCTGAAGCTTTACTGAATAAGTGAATATTACCATGAGAAGTTTGTAACTAAGTCCAAAATACGATTTTAAGATTCTTCAGAAACCAAATGATTGGGTCAAGTGGGAAACTCGGTAGACAAAAAAAAATCAAACCCACACCCAAAATAGAAAAATCCAGCAACGATTTTATACAAATTGAGATCAGATCATTAGCCCGGAGTTGAAAAAGGAAAAAAAAAAATCAAATATAAAATGGACGTAGCGATTACTAGAAGGTGGGTTAGGCAGAGTCGGATGGACCAGAAGGAAGCAGCTCATAGCCATCGTGATGACGGTTAAACTCAACCGGTATACATTTAAGACCAACGGCTAGAATCATGCTTACGGAACCAATCAAAATGCAGAGTAGCCAATGTTGCCAGCTCAAAGGAACAGTGTTTGCAAATGCTCCAAGGAACTCAACAATGATCACTTGGAATCCAACTGTTGCAGTCATTACAGCAACAAACACCCAACTCTTGAACATTCCTTTGAACACGTTTATCTTCTCTATCTCTCGGCTGTTTACTTCATTAAACACCTGTTTTGTGCAAAGCATTAGTGTTTAATTTCATTTAACTTTTTTTTTTATGGTTAATGTTGTTATTACCTGACAAAAGACGAAGGAGTTGAAGATGATGGTATTGAGAACAGCTGTTGAATCTGGGCCGTTGAGGTTGAGTATTTGTTTGCCAGCAAAGTTGAGAATGCCGAGGACGATTAACTGATAAATGCTTTGACCAATGATGTTTCTCCACATAGCTCTGGTGATGAAGCTTGCGGTTCTAGCAATTGGTGGGCGTTTCATTAAACCTTCGTTGGGAGGTTCGGTTGCTAGAGCCAATGCTCCGAGTGTGTCCATGATCATGTTCACCCAAAGTAGTTGCACTGCAGTGAGTGGCGCAGATCCTGAAAAGGTGCAAAACAATCATTGGTGAAACTGTTCTTCATAAATCATTAGTGAAAATTGAACATGTGTTTGATTTTACTTACCGGTGATGCAAGCAGAGACAAAGTTGATGATCAAAGCAACAACATTAACTGTTAGCTGGAACTGAACAAACTTCTGGATGTTTATATACACAGCACGTCCCCATTTCGCCACATTCACTATTGTTGCAAAGTTGTCGTCCATTATGATTACATCAGCATTCTCTTTTGCAACCTGTGTGTATACCCGGGAATTTTAACATCCAATGATTTAATAACTTAGTAACAGAGAAGAACCAAAGGCTACCTCTGTTCCAGCTATTCCCATGGCAAGTCCAATGTCAGCCTCATGCAATGCAGGAGCATCATTTGTTCCATCCCCAGTCACTGCAACTACCTCTCCCATTTTCCTCAAGTTGTTGACTAATGTATGTTTGTCCAATGGCAAAGACCGAGCCATCACCTGAAATCAGTTATGAAGAATATTATAAGATGCTTTAAAACATTTCAAGAATCCATTCCATTCTATTAATCTAAATCAGAACCTGAATTTTGGGTAAAATGGCCCTCATTTCATGTGGAGGCAGATTACGGAATTCTGAACCTTCTATAGCTACACCTCCTGCTGTAAGTATACCACATTCCTTGGCAATTGCTTTGGCAGTGCTTATGTTATCACCAGTGACCATACGAACAGTGATTCCAGCAGCTTGACAAGTCTGAACGGCTTCCCTAACACCAGGCCGAACCGGGTCCTTGATTCCAACAACTGCAACCAATGTGTAGCCACCATCAGGAAGATTCCCACTGGGAGCTTCATCAAGATCCGTGTAAACTAAGCAGAGAGTCCTCAGAGCCTCTGAAGCAAATCCCTCTATGACATCAGAGATACTTGCAATCTTTTCTTCAGATAAAGGAACAGATTCTCCGTTTGAATCCACAACCTTCTCACACATTTTCAAGACTATTTCAGATGCACCTTTGCAGAAAGCACGTACTTTACCACCAGAATGAGATGTAAGAACAGACATTTTCTTCTTGTCTGAGTTGAATGGCTCTATCTTGAGTATCTTATGTTCTCGGCGTTGTGTGTCAACGTCACCACCCAAAAGCAAACCAAATTCCAGTATAGCCCTTTCTGTAGGTGAACCCAGGATCTGAGTTTTTCCTTCCTTATCCTTAACGACTTCAGAACCAGTGTTCTGAAAGATGGCCTGTATAAGGATATTCTTAACTTGTTCAGATAGGTTCAACTGGAAGTTTTCCTCTTGCCTCTCCTTGATATTTTCACATATCCAAACTTTGTTGACTACCATGTGGTTAGTGGTTAAGGTCCCTGTTTTATCCGTGCAGATGCAGGTAGAAGAACCCATCGTCTCACATGCAGCCAGATGCCTAACAAGTGCCCTGTCACTCATTAACTTCTTCATAGCAAATGCTAGACTTAAGGTCACAGCCAAAGGTAATCCTTCAGGTACAGCAACAACTATAATGGTAACAGCAATTGCAAAGTAGTCAAGAAATGTTAGTGCATCTTCAGAAGACCACTCAGTGATGCTACCAGCCGTGGCTTTCTCCACAACGAACCTTATGCACAACACCAAAAACGTAGTCACTGCAAATCCTAAACCAATCTTACCTATGATTGTTGCAACACCGTTTAGTTTCACCTGCAGAGGGGTCTCATCCTCTCCACCCTCACTCAGAGTATCCATCAACTTTCCCCACTCAGTCCTCATACCAACGGTTGTAACCAGCATTTTTGCAGAGCCGTTTTGGACTTTGGTTCCTGAAAGCAGAAACGGCTTCTCTTTATTCACATGTGATGGTTCACTCTCGCCCGATAAGCTTGATTCATCTATCTCCAGATTGTATCCGGATATAAAAATTCCATCAGCTGGAACTTGATCCCCAATAGATAAATGAACCACATCTCCAACAACCAAGTCATGGATGGAGATCTCTTGTCTGCTCCCATCCCTGGTGACTTGAATAATAATCTTCTTTTTCTCTCGATCCAAATCTCTGAACTGCAAAGATTGCTTGTAGTCACTGATAGCAGTAACCATGACCACCAAGATTATACTAAGCAAGATCCCCGTCCCATCATACATGCCCTTTGGAAATCCTTCTGTGGCAACTCCCACTCCTATCGATACTACAGCGCAGACCATAAGGATGATAAGGGTTATGTCTTGAAGCGCTTCCCAAACAAACGTTAAAAATGATCTGGCAGGTTTCTCAGGATAACGGTTTTCTCCATAGATTTTCTCTCTGATGTGTAGTTCACTCGAACGGACACCTTCAGCGAGAGATACAGACACTTTCTGAGCAATTCCTTCAGGTCCTCCGCTCTTGGTAAGGCTCTTTGTGTCATGATTGCGAACCATAGAAGCAAGCTCATCTGCTTCGACATAAAATCCTGCTTGTTTGACCTCATCAGTGAGTTTATATTCACGGCGGGCACCAGCTGAAGAAACACACAATAAAAAGAAAAAAATTAAACCCAGTCGCCCGCCAATGATGCAAATCATGCATCTCTGAAACTCAAAAATGTAATTCTTACCATCAATGAACTGAAGAGCTGCCTTTTGAACATAGAAGGCAACCCGAATCTTTTCCTGATAATGACATAAAGAAAAGTGAGCTCATAGAAGAACACTACAACAACTAAATCATTAATCACTAAGAAAGAACTAACAGCCATTGATCTTTTCCGGACTAAATAACAGCATCAAAACATGCCAACCACTACAAATTTTGATTTGTTTATTTCATTGCATTATGCTTTTTATGCACCAGCTAATTGTTGTTGTATGTCAAAAGTTTTTCAGTGATCAAACAAGATACAACCGGAGCTAACGTAATAAAAATTGTATATACCTTTGAAGCTAAAACTCTGGAAATTGGTAACGTGTTTTGCCTCACAAATTACGTTTTGAAAATTGTGTTAAAGCAGGCAAGATTTATATTTGGTTTCTCAACATAAAAGTCATTTTTCAGTCATAATAGTCAAACATCCTACTCTTTTGTTCAGTAGTTCGCTAATAAAAAAAAATCTGCAAAAATGTTTGAATTTCAATAAGAAAGAAAAAAGAAAAGACCAAAACAGAGAAGAAAGGGACCAAAGGACTTAAATTCAAAGAGATTCCCAAACTGTTTATATATTTTATTCACACGCAAGCAAGTGGACAAATAAAGTTGATGTCTATGTTTGAGAATGGTATGGATCCGCTCCACGAAATTTCCTCGAAACTTCGTAAAAGCTAAGGTAATTGCACGACAAGTCAAAAAGAATGCTATACCCAAAAAGTCAACACCTATATGAATATTAGAGACCATATCTTTCTTAAGTAGATTACAATTACATTTAACGTCCAGAAAAATGGATTCTTAATTAGTATCTTTGAGCTTAACAAAAAAAAACGTGCAGCGATGGGATGCTAAGTAAGGTACAGTAAATTTGTTTGATTTATAAAATGGGAGACACGAAAGCATGACATAAAAAATTATGTCATTCTCTAGTTTGTTGGCAATTGAATAGCCCATAGTAAATAACTCATCCGTTACACATTCGATCATAATCAATATTTCAAATTAATCTTAAAGACTCATTGAACACTAATTTACGCGTCATTTTGTGTTTTGGTTGACTGTAAATTAGAAGAAAAAAAAAAGTGCACTATGTGGGTTTGAAATGTGCCAACTATAATTTATCTGTTCACAACGAAAAAAGATTTGAAAAGAGGATGATTTCACTATATCAGAGAAGAAAATTAGAACGATTCTTTTGCTAATCGCGGAAAATAATCGAGGGAAAAAAATGGTGAACAGAGAAAAAAAAAAAGTTTGAAACCAAAACATTTTTTGATGACAAAAAAAAAAAAAAAAACATTTTTTGAATGGAGCAAAAAATTTCCTAAACCGAAGGATCGTATAAGTTTTAAGTTTTAATAATGAATTAATTTGTTATACATCTAACGGATCGTGATCTACAAACGAAAACTGTCACCGAAAACATTAACGATTCGCAGGCATTTTCTCGGAAACCAAACATTTTCCAGAAATCCAGATCATAAGAAAATCAGTAATAGCCACTAAAAACGAGAGTCAAGTACCACAATCCATCACGAGAACAGAGAAAAGTAATGAAATCGGAGGGAGGAAACAACAGACCTGGATCTCGCATCTCTTCTTGTCATTCTCAGCGAGTTTCTCGAGATTGCTGATCATACGGAATCGACGAGCCCGATTTTTGACGAGTCCGACGGAGGACCGCCATCGTTGACGAGCTTCGAGCGACGGATTCTTAGCTTCGACCTCGAAATCCTTTAAGAGATTAGACATTTTTTTTTCAAAAAAATCTCTCTCCGTTTACTTTTCTCTAAACAGAGAGTATTCTTCGCCGGCGCGAAGAAAGGTGAAGAGAAGAGAGAGAGGAGAGTGAAGGCTCCTTCTTCCCCTATTCTTTTATGCTAAATCTCTCTCTGGCAAACGTGGGAGTTTGTTGTGTAGAGAGCAATTTTTATGTAGTGTTACAAAACTCCAAACCCGGTTTAGTCGGGTAATCGGGCCGGGCCGCCTTTTCGCATCCATTGGATCGTTCTTTTAAAAAATTATTTTGACGCAATCCAACTTTGAAGAGAAAGTCTTGTCGTGCGTCCTCTTTTCGTGGGTTTCGCATGTATGTATTGTTGTTGTTGGTGGTGATTAATGGGAATTATGTGCATAAATATCCATGTTCAAATATCCGACCCGATAAATCTGCCTAATATTATTAGGTTTTGTTGTATTAAGTTTTCTATAAATACACCATTGATTTTTTTCAGTTTTTCTTTTCGCAATTTTTTTTTCAGTCTCTGTTTCTACTAAATTGCAGAATATGTGACATTAAATATATTAGAAATCGCAGAATTGTACAGATTTTTCAATGAAACGCTATTTTTAGCATGTTGATTAATGTTGTTAGTTATTTTTTTCCACATAATTTTGTCTTTATTTACCTTAGTTTATGTTCTCTTCATTTTCATGTGCATTTTTACAATTGTTACATGTAATATTAATCAAATTAACAAATATAGCAATGTTATGAAATTGTAGAGGTAGACCGGGATTTTTAATTGAAATTGTAGCAAGAGATTAATCAAATCTAGTGTTTAATCTGAAAATATTATAATACATAAATCTCTTACCTTTTTTATTTTATTTAACAAAAAACCACTAACATTAAAACGTATAAAGTAAATACATAGTTGCTTTGAAGGTGCGTGGACACTAATAGCAAGTTCCATCCAAGTTGCTCTGTTTTAAGGTATCGCCACTTTATGAGGCTGCGCTGCCTTCTAATATAACCCCATTATCAACTCTTTGAAATATTAATTATATTACACCTTTCCCTAGGGGTGGGCCGGATCCGGATATCCGGCTTTTTTAGGGTATCCGGATCCGGATCCGGCCGGATCTGTCTTTTCATTATCCGGATCCGGATCCGCTCCACCCGGATATCCGGATTTAGGATATCCGTAAAAATAACCGGATACCCGGCGGATATCCGGATCCGGGTTTTTTTTTATATAATTTCTTTTTTATTAATACAAAATTAAAGAAAATTATTTAAAAACAAATAATTTAACATAAATAATTAAAAATATTATTAAAAGTATTATTATTATATAAAAGATAATAAAAATTATTAATAAAATTTAAATAATAGTAATAAAATATTAAAAAATATTATTATAATATAAAATATCCCGGATCCGGATATCCGGCTTTAATTTTTCTATTATCCGGATCCGGATCCGGCCGGATCCGCTTTTTCATTATCCGGATCCGGATCCGCCCCACCCGGATATCCTGTTTTTCGGAGCGGATCGGAGCGGATCCCGGATCGGATCCCGGATCCCGGATAATTGGTCTCACCCCTAGGGCTTTCCCCACCAAATATTCAAAGACTTTTTGTTTCTATGTACGCAAATCCATTTTAAAACTGATTATTTGCTACTAAACAAATACGAGACGGCCCAAAATAGCCTTTAATCTATTGGTTTAATATTCGGAAAAGTTTTTTTTTTTTTTTTTCACTAAAAGTTTCCATCTTATATAGAACAAGTTATTCGGAAAAGTTTAAACCTAGCTTTATGTATAAATGCTGTTTAAACAAGTTGACAAAAAATAATACATGTTGATCACAAATCTGGTAGCCTTTAAAGAATTCACATTAAGAAGAATTATAGATCCAATACAGACACATCTTTAGACTTGCGAACAATCATGCTCTTTTAAAAAACTACTAAAGAGAATTCAGAAAGCTGGTCAATTATAACACATACATATGTGACGTTTTGTAATTATTAATGTAATAAAAGGTTAGCTCTATAGTCAGAAACATGCATTTAATATATTAATAGGGAATTCCTAGCTGCCCATTGGCTTGTCACCCATGTTTGACCCAGTTTCTCCTAAAGAGCAAAGTCTTTATTTAACAACAAGAAAAAATTAGGAGCCAAGTAAGTCTTGATATGTAACACAAAAGTAGCTAGAAACTAGTCTTTTAATTTTATTTCCAGCCCACAAATCAAGAAGCACAACATTATATAACATTCTAACAATTCTTTTACATTGAGAACTATTTCATAACCATTTACTATAAGATAATGGACATCTTTCTATCGAAAGGTGCGATTTCGAGAATGAATATGAAGATATCAAATGTTACCGCAAACTAATGAAAGATTGACAATCTTTCTATAATCTGTGTCATGGCAATAACTTCTCTCAGCAGATTATGATCATTTCAATACCTTATGATTGCAGAAAGAAAAAGAATAAAAGCACATGGAGTAAACAAAACAACTCACAGCTTTAAAGACTGCCAAGCTAGTGCACTATTGATCTTGGGCCTTCTTGATACAATAGTACAGAAGAAAGTTGGTTAGGCCTTCAATAGCCGCACTTGATATTAAGTAATCACTTCAATGCATCTTGTAGTTACGGATCCAACATCCTTGACGAAAGATGAAATCAAATGAAACCTAAAACTAGCTAATGACTTGGAATCTGAAAAGTGCATTAGGATGAAGATTACTCTCACTGGCTCGTCAATAACAACGTAAAAATCTTATTCAAGGATTTTGCCTATCAGATTTTGGTTTTGATTGGCAAAAACGTCAGATTATATATGACTAACAAGAAATTTCACAAAAGTAATCTTACTGAACCGAATCGGTTTGATAATCCGGACCGGTTGATTCGACTCATTAACAAGTTTGTAACCGGAACAAAACCAGACCAAATTGCTCAAACAATTTTCCATAACCGGAACTAGTATTTGTCGGGTACATCGTACCGACATTGGTACGCTAATCTCAGATTTAGTCGGAATTGTGACTTATCTCTCTCCACATCAAAATCGTTGTTACCATCCAATCCATTAGTCGTCTTGTAAATTCTTCGAATCTGAAATCTGATCGGTGAGGAGAAACCCTAATTTCGTACAGTCTCATGATCGAGATTTGCGTCTTCTATACACTCTGTTTTTTTCGCTCCTCCTGATTCTCTCAATCTCTTGTTTTCTAGGGCTCGCCGCTTGTTCTGATTTCTGATTGCTAGGACATGGATGGAAACAAAGACGATGCGTTGAAGTGCTTGAAAATCTGCAAAAATGCTATGGAAGCTGGAGATCGACCTCGCGCTTTGAAATTCCTGGCTAAAGCTCGTCGTCTTGATCCGAATCTCCCGATCGATGATCTCGTATCTGAGCTTAATGACAACAAATCAGACGAATCAGGATCTGCAAAATCGCCTGGATCTGCAACCGCAAAAGATCCGCCTAATTCTTCAGATCGGCCTTCTTTACGCCAACGTGGATCGTCGTCATCGTCTTCTACCATGTCTTACACTGAAGAACAGATCTCAATCGTGAGAAAGATAAAATCGAAGAAGGATTATTACGAGATCTTAGGTCTTGAATCCAACTGTTCAGTGGATGATGTGAGGAAAGCTTATCGGAAACTCTCATTGAAAGTTCATCCTGATAAGAATCAAGCTCCTGGTTCAGAAGAAGCTTTCAAATCCGTCTCCAAGGCCTTTCAATGCTTAAGCAATGAGGAAGCTAGGAAAAAATACGATGTTAGTGGTTCCGATGAACCAATCTATCAACCACGTCGATCTGCTAGAAGTAATGGATTCAATGGTGGATACTATTACGAAGACGAATTCGATCCCAACGAGATTTTCCGAAGCTTCTTTGGTGGAGGAGGATTCGGTGGAGGAGGAATGCCTCCTGCGACTGCTCAATTCCGATCATTCAATTTCGGAGCTACTCGTCATAGAACAGCTAATAACAATCAAGCTCCTGATGCAGGTTTCAATGCTCGTATACTTCTCCAGCTTCTTCCTGTTGTGTTCATACTTCTGCTCAACTTCATACCTTCTTCTCAACCAGTTTACCAACTCTCTGCAACTTATCCTTACCATTACAAGTTCACTACACAGAAAGGTGTCAATTACTTTGTGAAATCATCTAAATTCGAGCAGGATTACCCACAAGATAGCAACGATCGACACACTCTGGAAGAACAAGTTGAGAGAGATTATGTGTCTATACTTAGTCAGAATTGTAGGTACGAGCTGCAGAGGAAACAATGGGGATTTGTTCGTGAAACGCCTCATTGTGACATGATGAGGAGATTTGATACAGCTGCTGCTTAAAACAACTGAAGCTAGTAGTACCAAGAACGAGGCACACATTGGTAATGAATGATCAGCTTATAAACATTTATCATGTCAATGCCTTCACGTGTCAAACTGATATATGTTTTTGTTTTTGTTTTGGATTATAACGCTTTAGAACCTAACATACGATCTTTGGATTTTGTGTGATTATCTCTATATTAAGATTTTGTTTTTGCTAATCATGCCTGTTTGAGCCCAAAAGAAGAAAAAAAAAGATCCTTGAGGTAAAGTAACAAAAAGACACATATTCTAGTTTCTTAGATTCAAAATCTTCATTCGAGTTTCTCAGATTCAAAAGCTTCGAGCAACCTTCTCGTACAAATCTCGAGGCCAGTTCCGTTGTGTGTTGCTTGCAAGAAACCCAGCAATCTGCATAATAAATTCATGATTAATATCCCTATCATGATCTCTACTGATCATACATATGCCTTATTAAGCAAACTGTTAAAGTGTACCTTAGATCTCATGCCCCTGATCGATCCATCAGTGTCAGCTACGTTATCCAAACAGGTCAGAGCAACCTTAAGTAAATCAGGGACACAAGTCTGAAAGTAAGAGGATGCTCTCTGGAACTCATCTGAGGTGGTGTCGGGTAGTCTTGGATCGAGATGAAGGAACGGAAGTTTCGCGACTTCTCTTATGGCATCTAGATGTTTGTTTAGTCTGGCTAACTTGTGGATCGATAGTATTGCCTCAAGCTCTCTCAGTATTGTTTCTTGTTCCATAACCCGATCTCTTTCCTGGCCACTGTAATATACAAGAGTGTGACACTTCCAGTGAGAAACTCCCTATTCAACAACTCCAAAACTTAAGACAAGTAAATGAGTGAGTCCATTGGAGTCTGCAATTTACCTGACATCAGGGTGATATTTGTATGTATTGAGAATGTCGTTGCCTGAGCGAACAAGCCCCACTGTTTGAGTTTCACCATCTGGCCTTCCACGGACGAGGGAGCAAATGGCTTCAGATAGACATTTGTTTATCGTTTCCAAGGCAGACGAATACGCACCAACTCTCTTTTGTAGTTCTATCGACTGCATCAGATAACAAACAGTAATAAAATGAAACATGGTAAAAGAAATAAATGATTTGTATGTGAAAGCACTCCAATTGAACAAATAACCAATGGACAGTTTACTAAAGCATGAAGTAGTTAGTATATGGTCAAAAAGCACAAAAGCTACTTACTTGGTCATATAATCCAGCTTCTTGACATTGATGTGCAGCTTCTATCAAGAACTGCTGCCTCAATTTTATATCAGGCAGAAATCTTCCAAGCTCACCTTCTTCACCGGAACCTCTAGCACCAAGCAGAAAGTAAACACCATTCTCTTGTAACAAAATCTCAGTCAGTAGTTGCTTTAGCATCAAGTTCCTTTGCCTTTGTTGATCAACATTACTTCTTCCAGACCAAGCTTGTTGCCCCCCACCTACTGCAATAGCAGCTTGTGCATAGTACTCCAGCGTCATTTGCAGATCACCATGATGCAAATACATTGACCCATATTGCCTAATCATGCTAGATGCCTCGGCATTAGCATCCATCACACTTAGTTTGTGCCCAGTCCCAGATCCTTCAGATAGAATGGAATGGTCCACTAGCGAAATAGCTACATGGACAGCATCAATGTTATACCCTTCATCTCCAGCTTCGAAGGACATGTGCATGATCGCCGGTAGTAACTGGATGCTAAGAAGCAAAACATATGGGTATACCAGAGGGTCTTTGCCATTCTTAGTGTAGTAAGATGGCTCAAATTTATTAAGATAAACCTGAAGATCATCCAAACTGTAAGGCACTAGCCCATCATTCAAGATCACAGATGAAGATCCACCAGCTACGTCACGTACACATGATAGTTTGAACCAGAGAAAATCTTCTATTGTGTTAAAGAGCGTCGAAAAATCCCTCAAGATGCGATCAATTTGCCTTCGGGAACCAGATATGATAGTGTAGAGTAGGAGCTTCTTCTTGTCATATGTTGTTTGGCCAAACCGATCACCCATCCTTAACAATTTCTCACATTCCTCAGAAGCAATAGCAGCGGTATGTGCAGCCACAGTACCACCTGTGGTAATCCACTCTGTAAGCTGCCAAAAAAATGGGAAATCAAAACGGCAACTCCAAAACATTAATGTAGGTTATTAAGACCAAAAAATGTACCAGAGGGGCAAACTGTTGTTGAGATGACCGAGATGACTGGGCAATTTCTCTAGCTTCCTCATAATAACCAGTTCTCAAGCAAAAATATATCTGTAATCAGAGAGGTATATTTAACTAATCTCTTACGTTAAGAAACTTGGGGAACAGCAATAAAAAAAATTCTGCAGTTCAACTTAATTGTTAAGGACAAAGTGAAAATTTAAAGCGTGAGTGAAAATATGTGAAACCTGCTGCCAAGTAGTATCAACTGGAGGCTGCCTACGAGCATCACCTGAATCAAAATCCAAAATCCCATAATCTCTCAGACGAATCTGCACAGTATTGAAGAAGAATCAAGAAATGCACACAAACCAATGTATATTTGCCACAAAATAATATTTCTGTGTATATATGCTTCGTGTTAAGCTTTATTAGACCTGTGGCACTCACCCGAAGAAAAGCACGAATTCTTTGCAAATTTCCAACTGATCCACCAAGAGCAGCCTAGAACAAGATTCGAAAAAAGGGATAGAAACATGTTGTGATTAATAACGCACTTGAACTCAGTGAAAGATCAAGGGCATATTTTCAAGAAAGCATTCTTGAAGTTAAGAAAGTAATTAAAAAGATGCATCAAGACACATGTAACATGCCTTAAATAGCAATTACAAGCAAAATTTAATACAAGATATAAAAGAGTACTTGTGTAGGATGACTTTGAATTGTATCCATTATATGTTTCCCATGCCCACATTCCAAGTGGCGTCTTGCACCTATCACGAGGGCCATCCTCTTGGAAACACCATGTTGTACTGCTGAATCTTCACCCGTCATTGCCTGTTTTATAAATTGTTAAAGGCCTTGGAAATGTAAGAACAGTCCTTTAAGGTGCCAATGGTAGGAAAAGATCACCTGAATAAGTTGCCAAATTTTCTGCATGTTGACTGATTTTCCACGAGTCAAATCAATTCCTAGACTTTCATATGCACCATTGAACGATGTTGCAGGCTATACAAACGCACAAATAAGAAATTAGTAGGAAACAGAGCTAAACAAATGAGTAAAAGGTCAGCACGTTAGAATTACTGCTGAACAAAAAGCAATCATCATCAAAAGGTGAAAGGTGTACAGATTATTTTTTAGATTTAGCTTCACTTCTAAGAACAGTAACCAAAAATGCACAATTTTCAGCTGCAATTACCAAGCAGGCCGACATTCAAAATGCAACAATATTATAGAATTTACAAGGAGGTTTTCGAAGGTCATACTTTAAATGGCAAGCCTCGTTCTCTTGCAGAGTTTAGTTTCTTCACAACCTCGGCATAGACATAAGCCTTTTTCTCATGAATGGGTTTGTTAGTCATAGACACGAGCTCCGTTCCAGGTTTTGAAGATACTTGAGGACTCAAAGGCACTAGTGAATCAGCGTGAGAGCCTCTGCTTGAATCGATCATCTTGGTCTTAGGTAACATTGAAATTTTGCTAAGGCTATGAAGAAAGTCACGTTTTTCTTTCCTACAGTCCTCCTGCCATAAACAGGTTTCACATTGAAGTATTTATGAGAAAGGACATGAATAAATTCAAAATAAATATCCTTCTAATTCTAATTAGCAATAAGAACCTCAACCAGTTTCTAACTGATTCTATAGAAAGAATTTCAAATTACAATGCCATAAATATGTAGGGATGAAAAACATGTTCCTCCGTTTAACAATGATGGTTTCATGCTAATATCATATACCAGTCTTTGTCTGTAATAGCATAATGAGAAGAAGCAATGCAAAACTTTAAAACAATTAGAAGCAGGAGAACATTGTATGAAGGCAGAAAATGTGACAGATGAAGAAACTAACATGGAAATCAAGTCAAAACAGTTTGTGATAGTTGCAATACTGACCTCCAACACTTTCAACATGTAGTTGTTAAAGCTACGAACATTATCTTTTTGAGCCTCCTGAATAGCCGATACCATTGCCATTTCATGAACCTAGAGACAAGAATAATGAATATAGAACGAGCTGTAGTGTAATCTAAAAATAGGGAATTTTCGAAGAGCATTTAGATATAGAAAACCTGTTGCAGGTATTCTTCAACATTTGTTGTCTCGGCAGGGAATACATCCTCAAATGTGGTCTATTAACAATTGGAAAAAAAATTTAGGCAAAGCTCATTCAGTACACAGATAAAATGTCAAATTATCCAAAGAAGATAGAGACAGGAAATAGAGAAAATGCTCGCCTTCAACTCAAATGACTTAAGATCACGAGATAATTGATCTGCATTGATTCCCTCCCGTGCAAGTAGTCTGCGTATCAAAGCAAAAATAAAGACACCAGAATCATCATCACTCTCTTATGAAAGTTATAACAACATAAGACCCTCAATTTCTCAAAATATAGACCAGAGGATTCTACTGTGTTAGGTCGTCGGACCTAACTTCTATAATGCCAAAACTGAGTCACCAATGTGGAATTCTCAAGGACTCGCTCTGTAAGACTAAAACGCAAGACCTAGGGAAAGAGAAATTCGAAGTTGTAGTACCTTGTGGCAGCAATAGACTGTGAAGGAGCTTCGTTTCTTAGGGTTTTAGCTTTGAGTTTCCTCGACAATGCTTCCAATTGATCCAAATTCCTCTATAAACCACACAGATATATCAATACGAATCAATCCCATCGGGATAAGAGAAGCACATAAACCAGTTCTACAATCCAAAGAAACCAACAGCGAATATTTCCTACAAACAAACGGAGAGTCGAAATCGAAAAGAGTGGTGGTTAGTAGAAGGACCTGAAGAGGAGGAAACTGAGACGAAGGAGTCGCTTGCTCAAGGAGCTTAGTAGAAGAATGGAGAAGATCAGTCCATCCACTCATCTCCTGGTCGTTCGCCATTGATATTGAGAGTTTGAGCTCAGGAGAAGGAGAAGGAGAAGGAGAAGAAGAATGTCAAGGGTTTAGGATTCGAACATTTTAAAACGATTTTTTCTTATTTTCTCAAACCGGTTAGATCGGTTCGGGTCTTGATTACTTATTTATCGATTCGGTACAATAAAACTCGGGAAAAAACCCGAAAAATACCCCATCTATTTTTAATTTGGACGTTTAATACCTAACTTTTTTTTGTTGGAAGAAAAATACCTTCTTTAATTATAATTGGTCGAAAAATACTTTATCTTTATATTATTGGTAAATTCAAACCTCTGATTTAACGGTCGTTAACGGACGTTACGGTATCAGTAAACGACGTTATATTATAACAAAACAAATAGCCGAAAAATGCTTCATCTATTTATTTTTGGATTTTTAATACCCAAACTTTTTGGTTGGAAGAAAAATACTTCATTTAAATATTTTTGTCTAAAAAGACCTCATTTTTGAATTGTTAGTATATACAATATTTATACAAACTTTTACAAATATATTACTTGATCTAATGGTAATGTGGATGTCGGATTCGCACACTTGAATATTTGTTTATTTAGTGGGAATGATTACTCTTGAGGACAAAAATATGATAAAAAAGCTATGAATTGTAATGGGAATAACTATAGTGTATTTGCTAGAAAAATTGCGTATCCTTTACATGGCTATTAGCCCTCTTATTTATATTGACAAACGACATTTAACTCTCAATTAAACACAATTATTCTCTCTTAAATGTGTCCGTTTTGGTCTTCGAGTTTAATGCTCAACGTTTGAATTTGAATTGATTCCGATCTTCATGGGCTTCGCCTTTTGGCCCAACTTACTTTGAACCATCCTGACTTTGACTCCGAGTCATATCCCGAAATGGACCACTTCGAGTTCCCTTAGTGATGATGCCCACTTCGACTATATCCTGTACACCTTGGGTTTTAATGGGCCTTATTCTTTGCGGGCCTTCATCCTGACTACGTGGCGATCTTTGGTTGGTCCCGGTCTACTGGTGCGGGATCCGACACCAACAGGTAACACGTATGATTTTTAACCCGCATAAAACTTCTTTTGATCTCCTATTTTCTTTAATGAATGACATACAAATTTAAATACATCATTTGCTTCACTCCTACAAATTTAAATACATCATTTTTTCATTCCTAAAGGCATCGTTGGAGTTAGAAGGGTTTTTTGTGATAGTGATTTTGATGATGGAATGTAACGATTCTGCAACTAACAAATGAGAGATTGTGACAAAGATGACGACGACGATAGATTTGTCATTTTTGTGGTCGTGGAGTAGCATAGTTGCGGAAGTGGAGAAGAATTTAGGTAAAAGTGGAGAGATGAAAGAAATGGTTCGAGAAAGATTGAGTTTTGATCGTATTAACGAAGTAATATTGAGTTTTGATCACACCAATATATTTGTAAAATTTTGAAAATAAATTGTATATATCTATTTATATACACAGGGTTAATATTTAACGACGTTAAATATGTTTGTAATATTGTTAACGATTGTTAAGTCGCAGACTTGAATCCACTAATAATTTAAAATGAAGTATTTTTAGACAAAGATATTTTACATGAGGTATTTTTCTTCTAACCAAAAAGTTGGGGTATTAAAATTCCAAAAATAAATAGATTGGGTATTTTTCGGCTATTTTTTTGTTATAATTTAACGTCGTTTACTGCTATCGTTACGTCCGTTAACGACCGTTAAATCAGAAGTTTGAATCTACCAACAATTTAAAGATAAGATATTTTTCGACCAATTATAATTAAAGAAGGTGTTTTTCTTCCAACAAAAAAAAGTTAGGTATTAAACGTCCAAATAAAAAATAGATGAGGTATTTTTCGGGTTTTTTCCCAATAAAACTCAAACCAACGAAAAAGAGAAAGAATACACACACACGACCCAGCACGATCTAAAGAGACAGATTTAGTTGTACACCAACTGTTCGACGAATTGCCTCCTTGAACATCTTCTTCACCGGAAACGAGGGTTTTATACTTTAAGCTTATGGAGGAAAAAGACTGGGAAGTTTCTTCTTCAAGCGATAACGAAGCTGGTTTTCCAAACGATGATGACGAAGAGTTTCATTCTGGTGGTTCTGTACCCAAGTTACAGTTCAGGTGAATAAAAATCGGCAATAACTTTGTCTTTTTACCTGCCCAAATCATAAACTGCTAAGTCAACTATTCTTAGAATCAGTTTCTCTTTTTTTGTGTTTGCAAAAATGTAGAGTAGGATCTTCCAAGGCTCGTTGGATTGCTGAGTTAGGAATGGCTGAAGTTGAGGTTAAAAGGGGAAAACTTTGGACGACAACTGGAATCATTCGTAGTGGAAAGACATATTGCTTCATAGAAGAGGCTCTGTATGTGGCAAACTAAACATTTTACTAGTATTTTAGATCAGTCTTTACCAAAGATTAGTTTTTTACTCAACGATCTGATGAAAGTCTCTTTCTTTTTCGTTTATTCTTCCTTCTTGTTGCAGGTATTTGAGTGAAATAGGAGAGTTACAGATCTTGGGTAATGAGGATGACATAGCGATCCCATTGAAGGACTTGTATGAGAAAATGGCAGAGGAAAAAAGCGGTTGCTCTTGGGATAACTATGAGGTTTATAGATACTTAAAGGGTCTAGGTTACATACTAGGCAGGAATGGAATTTCTTGGACGTTAAAGGATGCTGCAATTACGAGACCATATGGTGAAGAAGAGTCAGCTTGTGCAGGTGAATGTCTTGAAGACAAGGATACTGTAACTAAACTCTTGGGAGATATGCAGATTTGTGATGCAAAAGCTGTGTTTGACGTGTATCTACCAAACAGCCGGTTCAAGAAGTCTTCTCCTGGTGAACCGAGCTTTGTAGCTTGCTTCTCTGGGTAAGCGTTTTTGTTAGTTCGAACTATGAATGCAAGTTTTTCATTACACGTCTTTCTAAATATACTCATCCTCTTTTACAGGGACTCTCCACCAAGCAAAAAAGATATTAAAGTCCTGCAAAAGCGCATAGCTGCACCATTAATGTTCTGTCATGTCGCTCAGGGCCGTGCCAGTTTCTTTTCCTTCAGTTCCATAGACCTCCCTGTCTTACCATAAAATGTAATAGAAAAAAACGGAATGGTCTAGTATTCGATAGACAAGTCACGAATCAAACTGAGAGTTTACATACATTTGGAGTAACTTTGATGATGCGTATTCATAGGGTATATGTACAACTTTATGTTTTTTAAAAAAAAAAAATTCTACGAGGCATAGGAAGAATCTTGTAAAGGGCTTCAGAAAAAAATGGAAAAACAAAAGCTTCTTTGAGTGAGATTGCTTGTATCCTCGCACATCAAGATCTAAGAACCGCCAAGGTTTTTCAGGTCCTTTGCCTTAGCAAACCACTTGGGTATTATTGTTGGCAGTTTTGGAAGCAAGTCCTCGTATGTTCCTTTTATCGTGTTTTCTGCAACTCCAGTGGCTTCGATAATACCTGCAACTCATTATGTGTCAATATATTAGAGAAAGAGAAGATCTGATCAGACTTTGCTTTAAGGCTTGCTATGTAGATGGAGATTTAAATGTGACCTTTGAGCAGCTTCTTCTCATAAGAAATTCGAGCAATGGCATATACGACTCCTGCGGCAACTGATACAGGAGACCTACGGCTGCAATAAGTAGAAATATGGTTTTTAAGTCTGCTGCATCATATATCATTATATCTGCTTACACATCCACTAAACTCCAGAAACTGCTCAAATAATGAAGTTACCCAATACTAATATAATCATAAGTTTCCGCAGCTGCTTGAGCAGCTTCAACTGCTTCGCTATCCAATCCCAGTTCAGAACAAAACCGCTTCTGCAGATGAATACAATGTCAGTAAACAAGAGCTATTGACCACGTGGTCAATGCAACAAAAGCTTAATGCAAAAACTCACTATAAAGTCAGTAGCTTTGATATTCATCAACCAATTTTTGTCTATGTTCAGTTTCTCAGCTATGAACCCAATTGTCTTACTAATACCCGAAATTGTGGCTTCATTGGCAACCTTAGATATTTCTACACAGAAATAGTTTAGAAAAAGCTGATTCAGCTACAATGGATGAAGCTACATCAAGAAAGGAAGCAGAATCTTTCAGGTTTGAACTATATATACCACCCATAGACAGAGTGCTATCATTCTCTCGACAAGCAATGTAGATACAAGCAGCAAACAGGACGTTTCGTTCCTTTCCTCTGCTGTAATCCTCCACTTCCTTAAAGATCTCATTAGCATGATCCTGCAGATCAAGAAACACACCAATTCAAACTTATCTGTGTATACTAACTATTCCTCCAGAGTCCAGAGACGAACAAAAGGCTTAATTACCTTGATTGTCGCAGGAAGATCCAACCTGTAATAATAGATGAAGCGATATTTAAACTCTGCACATCTTAACTTCTCTGTAAAAGAAGTTTCTTGTCTACTAAGAAACGAAAGAACGAAAAAAGGGTACCCATCGGAAATAGCTTCGATGGACAAAGCTTTATTCTGAAAATTTCCAAGATCAGAGCGCAAGACTTCATCGGAAGAAGCAGTAATCGTCTCGGAGTTCTGCGAAGTTCCAAGAGTAAGGGACAAGAAATCATTGGAGGAACCATTCTTCGGCGCGGTGGTGGCTATAGAGACTGGATCCAAGCGAGGTTTCAACGAATTTTCAAGATTAGGGGACAAGGGATCATCGAATGAGCCATTCTTGTGCTCGGTTGTGACAATGGAGAGACCACTATTGCTTAAAACTGGGTTCGTCGGATCAGAGAGACGAACAGTATTGTTCTCTGCTACATGGACACCATCTCCGATCGAGCGATATTTAAATTCAAGACCACACCCGGAGCATCGTGTCCTCCTCTCAACGTGATTAGTCACGACAGTGGCCTGTTTACATCTCCTGCAACAGTTACCCCACTTCATCGTCATCGAAACCCTAATTTTCTATCCTGATTTTAGGATTCTTCTTCTTTCAATGGAGTCAAAGTGGAGATTTCGAAAAGAGAAAAAAAAAATGGAGGGAGTGAACAGAATTAACGGTTGCTTCTCATTTTATAGACAAAAAGAAGAGAAGGGTGAGAATTCAGCTGTGGTCTGGTGCAGGTAATTGAAACAATCTGGAACGTTGAGATGAGGTGTGACCCATTAATATTTGATCGGACGGTCTCTAATCGTTTACAGATAAAACACGAAAATGGTTTATTTGAGCGTCTATTTATAGGAGATGGGAACTTCGTGCCGTTTCAAGGCCACGTCACTAAAACCAGTGCCGTTTTTTTCTTCCTTTCTCCTCGAATTTAATGATTAAATCAAAAACATGATTTTGTAATTAATATGCTCTAAAACAGGATTAGTACAAATAATCACTGTAGAAATTTGGATAATACAGTTTATGATCAAAGTGCTCTAGGGCTATTTTCAAGAAAGTGCTCTAATTTTGATCATAAACTGTAGGTTTATTGATAATACAAACTTGTTCCAAAATACAAGAAACTGTACATATATATAGAGTTGAAAATAATAAAATTAGTTGGATTATGATTGCAATAGCTAGTAGACGATTGTATATGGTATCCATTGACAACATATGTAAATTCAACATACACAAAGAAAACACTGGAAAATGTTATTACTCTGACCAGACCACCACCTAATTGGTTATTGAATGTGATCACAATAATGGTAACTGGTAACACATCCTCAAAAGTAAATATTATATACCTTTGTTTAATTAGGCGATGGTGACGGGGCAACAGCTGACCATGCCCATCAATTTATTCGTTTGCGTAAATCACGAATTTTTTGTTCACCTCAATTTAAGGTTTCCAACGAAAATAGTACATTTACTATCACAACAATACGAAATTATATACAAAATGCATAATACAAATCAGTCTTAACAGTTTTAAAAGAAATATTATGTCGAAGCAAGGATTTATATATTTCATTGCAAATTAATTATCATAAATTAATACCCATAATTTACTTTGGATTTCATTTCACTCTTATAAAAAAAATTCAAATTTGGGTAAATAAGAATATTAGTTATAAGTTATAACTAATAAAGCAATAATTAAGGAAGTACTGAGAAGAGGAAAAAAAGAAGGGGAAAAAACCCGAAAAAACCGTCATCTATTTTTTTTTTGGCCGTTTAATACCTGTGTTTTTAAATTTGGAATAAAAATACCTTAGTTAATTTCCATTGTCTTTTAAAACTATCGTTTTTTAAAACTTGGTAATTTCGAACCCGAGACTTAACAGTCGTTACTGGGCGTAACGGAATTATTTGACGGAATTATTGCACATTTAGGCACTTTCCTCAACTTATTTGTGCCTTTAGGCACTTTCAAAGGAGAAGGCACTTTGCCAAATCAAATTGTCCAATTTGCCCTCTTAACTACAACTCTCTCTCACCATCTCTTTCACCTCTTCTCCAATAATAAAACACAGAACTGGATATAATAAAAAAAAAAAAAAAAATTCAGCTTGATTTCATCGAAATTTATAAACTATATTCCTCAATTAAATTGGGGTTAGCTTCAATTTTTTCTCCAACCAAGAAATTCTGGGGTTCATTATTACATGTTTTATTATTCTGTAATAATAATTTATTCAGTGGAGTATACGCTATTGCCCATCTCAAAAATGGAGGTGCCGTGCCGTCAATTGATGTCACGTGTCCTGACTTTGCATTCTCAATACAAACAAATACTCTCTACCTAAAAAAAACAATAAACAACAAAACACATCTTTGGATCGTCGGTGAGGTTGTAGGAGAAGGGGTTTGTGAAATGGAGTCGAGTCAGGATGTGGAGAATCTGAGTAGAGCTATCGAGAAGCTTCCTAATGAGAAGAGGAATAGAGCAGCTTCTGGTGACGCTTTCATTGAAGACGACGATGATCAGCTTTTGCTCTCTAGGCTTATCTCTCAGGTTCTTTTACCATCCCTCTGTTTTCTCCTTTGTTGATTTATCTGATGTTGCCCCAAATCATATTTTCTGGGGATAATAAGATTGAATCATGACTATTTTGAGATAAACTATTGAGTCTGTGTAATTGTTCCGCTGTGATTTGATGAAATCTGATTGGTCTGTGATGAGACTGCTTTGATTTGATGATCTTGAATCTAACAAATCCAAGCTGTTTGTCGTTTGATTTAGCTTTGTCAATTATCACAGTAAAATGAAGATTAATTGTTAGTGTGTGTCTTATTTCAAATTTGGTCTAGACAATATAAGAGTGAGCTTATCTTCTCAACATGATTGTGTTAGGTGGTGAAACATTAACATACTATACTATCTTCGGCTTTGACCCTTTTGAGCGAGATTTCTGGGATCAAGTGTTTGATGAGGCTCTCTGTTTGTCACTTCTCCATTAGGTAAAAAGCTTACTCCTTTATGTTCTGTTGCTTCAGTTGCAGCTTCTTAATGCTTCTTAATACTACGTAGCATTTATGACTCAAGCAGGTGGTGGCTTTTTACAGTTGCGGTTCTGGATTCGTGTAGAATTTCCCGGAAACTCAGCGAATGAATGTGGATTTCAAAACGTGGCCAGATTTGTAAGAAGTATTGGAAGAGTTGTAGAAGAAGGAAAAAAACGACCTTTGGCATTTAAGAGAGATTGTGTCCTTTGTACTAAAACAAGGATTTGGGTTTTAGAAATAGAGGCACGTTTCAGTTTTGTTCCTCTCTCGTGATGTTGCTTGGCTACTTCATTTTTATATTTGTTGTTTGAATGTTCAAAGAGAGAGAGATATTAAACTCTATCTTAATGAAAATATTTATCCATTTAGACCCGTCCAATTACACTGCTAATTGCATGAACCGTGTATGGTTGACTAGGTTAATGTAACAAGTGCAATGTTGTCCACGAACTCATCTGTTATTGGAGACTAAGGGACTCATCTGTTACCAATGAATTTTTCAATGAACTCATTTGTTACTACCCTTGTTAAGCTTATGTATCTATATAATATGTGTATTGATATGAAACGATTTTTTTTGAGTATTTACCGTCTTGTCACTGCCAAAGTATTTATATCAAATGAACCATTTCTAGTGTATGATCCAATATAGATTAATTGAACACCAAATCATCCGCCAAATGCTTCTTTTTTCCAATTTTTTGGTATCCATTTTGTATTGTCCATATGAACAATGTACTTTTGCAGGTTTAGTGTCCATTTTTATATGTTGGTTTATTCTTTTTGTACTCAAAATAGTTTAGGTGGACTATTGACTCAAATAACTATTTTTAAAATCTCTTTTTTAATTTTCTGGTGTATATTTAAGTTTAATAATTTTGGATTTTTGGTTTATGGTTTAGGGTTTAGAGGTTAAAATTTAGTGTTTAGGGTTTAGAGTTTAGAGTTTAGAGTTTAGTGTGCTAAAGTGTCACTTACCCTTTGAAAAATTATTTATTGATTTTTCTTTCATTTTGTAGAGATCTCCACCTTCAAAACGATGTATTGATGTCACGAGAATATGACCATATGGACATGGAACTTTGTTTTCTATACAAACCAATAAAAAAAAATATAGCAACTAATGAAAGACTTTTTTATTTATTTAACAAACAGAAGGGTAGGAAACTAAAATTGCTTCTCTCCAAATTCTAAACTATAAACTCAAGGTATCTATATCTATGATTAGAATTGCTTTGTGAGTATATTAAAATTCTTCTGTCTGCATTGTTATATTCAGACTTTTTCGATTATCGATAGTGTAAACAAGATTTTTTTTTGTTTGTTTTATTGTGTAAACAAGATTAATGAATTTTTCATGCTTCTATCGGCTTTCTTCTTTGTCTTTCATGCTTGTATCAGAACAAAACCTCAAGATGTATAACCATACATATCCCTCATGCTTGACTAAATGTTATAAAATGATTGGAGTGTCTACATACAAGTGAACAAATGGTCAGCGAAAAATGGACGCTTTTCGTGATTGGTGATTTTCATTTATGTATAAACTTTTGTCTTGGTATGAAACGACGACCATGTGAGTCACAAGATGACCATATGGATTGCACAGCTTGGACAAACATCAATAAACAACGTATATGGTATGGATCCATTTTATAATGATGGTAGTGTCCATACACAAGTGAATATTGGTCAAAGAAAAATGGATGGTGTACTTTTAGTTGTCGATTATCGTTCATGTATAAATTTGATTATTGATATAAAACGACCATGTGAGTTACTAGATGACCATTAGGACTTGACTTCTTGGACACTCACCAATGGAAGATTATGATATATTGTATGGTTTTGAGTATTGGTTTACGGTTTAAAATCTAGTTTATGTTTAAAGATTATGATTTTAGGATATAAGGTTGAGTGGAAAAGGGTTAGGTGTTAGATGTTTAGGGTTTAGATTTAAAGTTTAGTGTGTAGTTTTAAAAGAATTTTTAAATGTTTTTAAAATGACAAAATGTTCTATAATAATCGGATGGCCTACTATGTATTTGGATTTATATTGTTGACGAAGTTAGATATCGATTTGGGTTTAGTAGATAGGGGGTAGGGTTTAGTGTTATATTTTAAAGAGTTAAATATATATCAGTTTGGGTTTAGTAGGTAGGTCGTAGGGTTAGTGTTATATATTTAAAAGAAATTAAATATTAGTTTGAGTTTATATTGTTGACGAAGTTAGATTTCGGTTTGGGTTTAGTATGTAGGGGGTAGGGTATAGTGTTATATATTTAAAAGAAGGTAAACATCGGTTTGGGTTTACTAGGTAGGGGGTAGGGTTTAGTGTTAAACTTTAAACCGAATTTTCTTCTCGTTTTAGGTTTATATTGTTGACGAAGTTAGATATCGGTTTGGGTTTACTAGGTAGGGGTAGGGTTTAGTGTAAAATATTTAAAGAAGTTAAATATCGGTTTGGGTTTAGTAGGTAGGGGGTAGGGTTTAGTGTTATATATTTAAAGAAGTTAAATATCGGTTTGGGTTTAGTAGATAGGGGGTAGGTTTTAGTGTTAAATATTTAAAGAAGTTAAATATCGGTTTGGGTTTAGTAGATAGGGGTAGGGTTTAGTGTTATATATTTAAAGAAGTTAAATATCGGTTTGGGTTTAGTAGGTAGGGGGTAGGGTTTAGTGTTATATATTTAAAAGGAGTTAAATATCGGTTTGGGTTTATATTGTTAACAAAGTTAGATATCCGTTTGGTTTACTAGGTAGAGTAGGGTTTAGTGTTATATATTTAAAAGAAGTTAAATATCGGTTTGGGTTTAGTAGGTAGGGAGTAGGGTTTAGTGTTATATATTTAAAAGGAGTTAAATATCGGTTTGGGTTTATATTGTTAAAAAAGCTAGATATCGGTTTAGGTTTAGTAGGTAGGGAATATGGTTTAGTGTTATATATTAACAAGAAGTTAAATATTGGTTTGGGTTTAGTAGGTAGGGGGTAGGGTTTAGGGTTAAACATTTAAACCGAATTTTCATGTCGTTTTAGGTTTATATTGTCGACGAAATTAGATATCAGTTTAGGTTTATTAGGTATGGGGTAGGGTTTAGTGTTATATATTTTAAAAAAGTAAAAAAGCGATTTAGGTTTAATTGGTTTTACAATTATTGTTTTGTATAGGGGTAAGTAAAGAAAAGCATGGTCAAGTTTAAGTGAACAAGTTATCATGATAAAATTGGTTTTAAAAAAAAACATAAGGGTAAGTAAATAATGATGATTTTGACCAAAGAGATATTGTGTGGATAATCCATCTTGAATATATTGTCATGGATCGTCCGTTTCTTACCATATATTTGAAGGGTAATGGACGGATTCCTATGGTTGACAATCCGCAAGTACACGTACATATATGAAATTTAGGAGTGGAAGTGTATCCATGTAACATCGAACAAATGGATATATTGTAAGAAATGATGGTGTATTCATCTAGCGGCTTTAGGAGTGGAGTGGAGGTGTATCCATGTAACATCGAACAAATGGATATAGTGTAAGAAATGATGGTGTATCCATCTAGCGGCGACCAAATGGATATGCATTTTAGTGTTTTTTCGTAAACCTATCTTGACATACAGGAGCCACATTACCTACTATGTACTTAAGCAGACGATCTAATAGATCGGTGTCGCCGATCAGCTTCTTCAGCTTTTGACCTCAACTCTGACCTAAGTATCAAGTATGGAGTTTGTATTTTTCTCCTTCTCACTATCATTCTTAACATGGTTTTCTTAGCTACTTAGGCTTCCCTAGCAGTTTTCAGAGAAATTTAACTGCTTCTCATCTAATTTGAAATTACAATTGTTTCAAGTTAATATCCTATAACAAGCACAATTTCACAGAACAATCTCATATAAACCGAGACTGATTTAAGATTCATAGAAACCAAAACTCCCCACCAATTGAAAGCACGGACATTGAAGCTCTTCTCCTCGCCAATCCACTAGCAACCAGAAACACAAAAGGCCTCGTGTTTGCTGCAATTCATTCCACTAGCAACCTCACATTTTCGCTTTCTCTTTGCTCTCACTATCTAAACTCTGAATTTCGATTTCAATGGAGTCACACGCGTGCTGTTACGCGCCACCGCGAATGTCGTCGGAATTTTGAAATTGAGACGACCAATCGGAGCGATCCACCATCAATTCAGCACTGCGTCGTCTTCTTCGTCGTCGTTCTCGGTTAAACCAAACGGAGGAATCGGAGAAGGAGCGAATCTGATCTCCGGTCGTCAGCTTCGTCCGATTCTTCTTCTCGATTCGTCGGCGATCAACGGCGGAGAGAAAAGAGAGATTCTGAAACCGGTTAAAGCCGCCGCTGCTGAAGGTGGAGATACCGCTGTTGCTGAAGGTGGCGATCAACGGCGGAGAGAAAAGAGGTCTGTTTCTAGCTTACTCGGTGTTGAATCGTTTGACTCGGTGGATCTGAACTCGTTTATTTCGCAGGGAAGCTAAAGTTGGATTCTTTGCCAAGAATCCATGGCTAGTCACTGGAATCTTCTATGAGAAATGATTTTCACAGAAGGATAAATCATAAACGATGGTTGTTTAATAGAGAGGGATTTGTTTCTAGAGACGAAGAGAGACATTTTTTTCTCATCAGATCTATCACATAAAAAAAAAAAATTCTATTTATTTTGCTTTAATCTTAGCCATAGATCTTAATGTTTATTTTTCAATCCAATGGTCTATATCAAAAACATCATAACTAAACTAGTTTGTGTTTAAATTGTTTGGTGGAAAAATAATTGAGACATAAGCTTAGTTAATGTTTGGCTCTTTTAAGTAAGAGGGTATAAAGGTCCAATTTTTCTTCAAAAAGATGAGAAAGTGCCTCTAGTTTTTAAAGTGTCTAAAGTGTAAGAACTTTCTCTATAAGTGCCTTAACATGCAAATCACCCTTATTTGACGGCGTTAAATTTTAACCCAACGTATTTATATAAATATATATCATCTGTTTGCTAAACATTACACGTTAGTTAATGTGGCCTGGTGGTTAAACGTTGGTTTTGTAAATCTCAGAACCTGGGTTCAAACCCCTCAACCTCCATTTTTTTTTTTTTTAATTTCTTTTTGTGTTCACCTCCCCTTCCGCCGTAACCTCTTCTTAAACCCTAATCCTCACCACAAATTCCTTCTTCATAGATTGAAAACCCTAATGTTGTTCCCGGTTCGAGACTCGAGTCGGCTTTGGACGAAACCGGAATCGAACCGAGTGTTGAGTTGGTTCTAGCGTTGTTTGATCGGTTAAGTTCATCGCCGATGTTGCTTCACTCGGTGTTCAAATGGGCGGAGATGAAACCTGGGTTTACGCTATCTCCTTCACTGTTTAATTATGTTATCAATTCTCTGTGTAAAGCTCCGAAATTTGAAATTGCTTGGTCGTTGGTTTTTGATCGAGTGAGAAGCAATGAAGGATCGGATTTTTTTTTTGTGGTGAATATGAAGGATCGAATTTGGTTTCTGTAGAAGAAGACGAAGAACCAAAAAAAAAAAAAAAAAAAAATGGAGGTTGAAGAGTTCGAACCAAGGACCTGAGATTTTCAAAACCAACGTGCAACCACCAGGCCACATTAACAATTACATAACGTTATGCAAACAGATAATATATATTTATATAAACACGTGGGGTTAAAATTTAACACTGTTAAATAATTCCGTTACGCCCAGTAACGACCGTTAAGTCTCGGGTTCGAAATTACCAAGTTTTAAAAAACGATAGTTTTAAAAGGCAATCGAAATTAAATGAGGTATTTTTATTCCAAATTTAAAAACACAGGTATTAAACGGCCAAAAAAAAAATAGATGACGATTTTTTCGGGTTTTTTCCCGTGATTTAGGTGAATAACCCAAAAAAAAAGAAAAATTAGTTTTTTAGAAAAAAGGTAGAGAGAGATAGGAAGAGAAAGAGAGTGAATAGGAGGGTTAGAGGTTAGATATTTAATTTTGTTTTTTTTTAAAGTTATCTAGTGCAATTTCTCAAAAAAGAAAGAGTAAAAGCAGTTCCATCCTCTTCTTTGACACGTCTTTCATTGTTTCCATCAGCTGACGAAAGAAACTCGATGAAAACAAAACAAATAAAATTAGTAATATTTTAAAGAAATTTGAAAACATCCTCTCTCTCAAAAGTCTCTCCTTCTCTGTTTCTCTCTTGATGTAAGAGAAAGCACCATCATAATAACCCAGCCCTATGTTTCTTCTTCTGGGTCACCTGATTCTTAGTCAGAACATCAAAAGTCGATCTGAAGCATCGTAAAAATCAAAACTTTGCTTGTTGGTTTCTTCTTTTGTTCTACAGATAATGGTTCAATACAAGAGACTAATCAAAAAAGGGGAAAAGCTTAGACTTCCTGTAAAAGAAGGTGGCTCCGGTGCCAACGTCGTCGCCGTCTCCGGCGGTGGCTACTCAAAGACAACCAAACAGAAGATTCTCTTTATTATCTTTCTCTCTTTACTCTCATGCTGTTACATCTTCAGCTTCTCCTCTTTCTCTCTTCTAGGTAAAATCACCTTTTTCATAATCTCTTTCATTAATTCTTTTCTAGATTTTCTCATAACTTCTTCGACTGTGAATTTCCTTGTGAAGATGCTTTTAGCAGAGAAAGTAAAGGATTTGGTCCTTATGAACTGTTCATTGCACCTCTTTGTTTAGGAACCTCAAATGGTATATATTTTATCTTTTGAAATCTCTTCTTTCATCTAAAACCTGTTTTTGATTTTAACAAGCTCTGTTTAATGATTTATCTCAATTACAGGAACAATTTGTTGTGACAGAACCGGTTTTAGATCCGACGTTTGTATCATGAAAGGAGATGTTAGGACAAACTCTGCTTCTTCATCAGTCTTCCTCTTCACTTCCCTCAATAACAAGACAAAGATCACTAAAAAGATCAAACCTTACACAAGAAAATGGGAAACTAGTGTGATGCAAACAGTTCAACAACTCAATCTCGTTTACAGAGATGAAAAGAACAATTCTAAAGTCTCTGTTGATGAACATAATAACAACATCTGCGATGTGTTCTATAACGTTCCCGCTGTGTTTTTCTCAACTGGTGGATATACCGGAAATGTTTACCACGAATTCAACGACGGAATCATCCCTTTGTTCATCACTTCACATCACTTCAACAAGAAGGTTGTGTTTGTGATTGCTGAGTATCATAGTTGGTGGGTTATGAAATATGGAGATATCGTTTCTAAGCTATCCGATTATCCTCCTGTCGACTTTAATAGCGACAAGAGAACGCATTGTTTCAAGGAAGCTATTGTGGGATTGAAGATTCACGACGATTTAACCGTTGATTCATCGTTGATGTTTGGGAATAAAACGATTCTTGATTTCAGAAATGTGTTGGATCAGGCTTATTGGCCTCGTATCCGTGGATTGATTCAAGAGGAAGAACTCGAGGCAGCCAACAAGACCGCTAAAAGGGTTCAAGAAGACAGTTTCAAGAAACCGAAAATGGTGATTCTGTCGAGAAATGGATCGAGGGAGATACTAAATGAGAGTCTTTTGGTGGAATTAGCCGAGGAAATTGGATTCATCGTCTATGTTTTGAGACCGGATAAAACAACAGAGCTGGCAAAAATCTACAAATGTTTGAATTCTAGCGATGTGATGATCGGTGTTCACGGAGCTGCAATGACACATTTCCTTTTCTTGAAACCGAAAACTGTCTTTATACAGATTATACCAATAGGAACCGAATGGGCAGCTGAGACTTACTATGGAAAACCAGCCAAGAAGATGAGATTGAAGTACATTGGTTACAAGATTAAACCGAAAGAGAGCTCTTTATATGATGAATATGGCAAAGATGATCCCATAATCCGAGATCCTAAGAGTTTTACTCAAAAAGGATGGGACTACACTAAGAAGATTTATCTCGAGCGCCAGAACGTGAAGCTTGATTTGAAAAGATTCAGGAAACCGTTGTCTCGTGCTTATGATTTCTCAATGAAGCGAATTGGACCGGTGTATAGTAGTCACTGACCGGATGTTACTAATTAAACCGGGTTTGAGATTGTATAAAACAGTTTGGAGATGAATGACACAAATTTACAAGCTTTTGTTCTGTATAGAAATCACTAACCGGAGAATACCAACTAAACCGAGTTTTTCACTCATTCGTCACTGAGTTCAAACCACACCTAACTGGGTCTAAGTGCCCAAATATTATTTTGCCTTATAGGCCCAAAGCCCCAAACATGCTAATCTTTCATAATTCCTTCATACATATATTTTTTTTTTTTTTCTTTTTGTCAAAATTCCTTCATACATCTTTTTACAAATTTGTGTGTTTGCAAAGTAAAACACCGAGATTTGCGTAGTAGATCTCTATTTGTTAAGATTTTTTTTTTCGTTTCAATTTGATAAGATTATTCAACTATATTTTTAGTTTATTGTACCTTGTTAGAATTATCATCAAATTTCATTGTTTTTTCATAAACAAATATGATTAAAATTAATTTAGAAGACTGCACACAGAAAAGTAAAATGGAAACAAATTGCATGTAACTACGACAAGTGGCTCATTCTCTTTTATAGTATGTTACAGAAGTGTCTGGTTAATGAAAAGAAATTAACTTTCTTTTATTTTATTTTTGTACACAAACCAACCTTGTTGTGTATGTAATATCCCAAAACAGTTTCTTATTATATATTTACGAATTTTCAATTCATTTATGGGAATTTCTGTAACAAAATTTCACCACAAAATTAATTTTGTTTCCTTTCATAGAAGAAAACAAAATCTTAAGAAATCACGTTATTTTCGTATTGGATGGTAGTTTATAAATTCTGAAAGAAATACTCAACGCGTTAATGCTTTCCCATATGTAAACTTTAATGCATACGAGATGTTATTTTTTTTGATAACCCAGTATCCAGACCACACAGTGATCTGACTAGCCCACTGGGCCTAAGCCCGCGTCACAGGGATTTTTAAGCCTCCACTTAAGGGCCCCCTGATAAACTGGTGGTCTGGGGCGCCTGAGCAAGTCCGCAGGTAAATTCCCAGGTGGCCACAGGAGTGAGAGAGAGAAACTGCGTCTGGGGAGGATCGATCCCTGGCCTAGACCAACAGGGCGATCCTTCCAACCAAACGAGAACCACTCGCCCACCACCATGTGGTTAAGAGATGTTATTTTTTTGGCAACAACTTAATTGAGTAAAGTGTTAAAAATGTGTAAAGTATTTAATACTAGTATATTATTTCTTTTTCTCTAGTCTAGTATTAATTTCAATTTTGGAAAAGGGAGAATATCACAAAAGAATAAAAGAGAAAGTAAATCGCCCCCAAACAGTTAAACCCTAGACGAGTTCTCAGATCTGTGGCCGGGAAGTCACTCCGGTGGTCGGCGTTTCTTGTCGTCACCGTGATTGGCTTCCCATTTTCCTTTCCAGCTTAGTTTTGTAGTTTTAAATCGCGGTGAGGGGAGGAATCGGGCGGATCTGTTGTTTGCTTCATCTTCTACGGAGTGGAGGCTGGCCAGAAACGGCGTGGATGCGACCGGCTTTTGGTGGGTTTCCTCTTTGTGCGGCATAGGCTGTTTTTAGCCATGGATCGGGAACGGCTCGGGGTGTTGTGGTGAAAAAGATCTGCTTGCGCTTTTCTTCTTCGGTCTTGGCATTTGTCAAGTTATTCCATGGTCTTCCCCTGTTGTTTTGTAAGCTGTTCCTCGCCTCTTTTCCTCTCATTTCGTCGGGCGATTTTAGGGTTCCAGAGTTGCTCTGGATAGCGGTTTCTCCTCCTGATTGTTTTTGAATTCTCTGAGTCTTACTTTTGTGGGGTTTTTGTCTGTTCTGTGGTTGGATCTTGTTTGAGTGAAGTTTCGGTTCTGGCCATTGTTCCTCTGCCTTGGTGTTGTGTTTTGTATCGAATGTCCTGGAAAATCTCTCGTGTGGTGAGACGGACTCGATGCCTTTTGCCATTGGCTCTTTGCTCATCTTCCCTGGCTGGTTCTTCTGTCTCATCAAGATTTGCTTCGTTTGGAGTTCGTGGGTCGCTATTTTGCCATCATATGCGGTATCTCTTCCACTTGAGTTTATCGTCTTCTCGGGGTTGGTTTGGAACGTTTAATACTACCCAAAGCTCTATCAATTCTTTCAGCAGAGAGAGGAGCTATTCATGGGTTTTGATTCGGTTCCTCTCCACAAGACAAATAAGGCATTTGTGCGTCGATCCCTTAGCTTCAAGTTCAGGCCTTTTCCTTTGAGATTCTTGTGTTTTCTAGTTAATTCAATCTTTGGAGGTTTATCGATTAGTTTTCTAAGTTTAGCTTATGGTCTTGTATTTGGTTGTTTGTTAGCTTCCCTCTTTTGGGCTTTTGGCTTCGGGGATATCACTATTTTCCGCCGACTCATCTTATCGGGGATATTAACTCTTTCCGCCGATCTTTGTATCTTTCGAAGGTTTAATATGATTATTCAGACGAAAAAAAAAAAAAAGGAAAAGGGAGAATATTGACCAAGAATGAAAAGAGCACCATTAAATGACTTAACACTATATTTAGAAACACCCATCTGAATTATTTACATTGCAAAACAAAAGTGTTGAGCTGTATTAATATTTTACTTAAATACTTCCATATTTATACAAAAATATTTGTTTCACAATATCTGTTTACCAAAATTTCACAACAGAACTAATTAATTTTTATATTTCTAATATTTAGATAATTCCAAAATAGAGTTTAATTCTCTAAATATAATTTCGGTTACAATAGAAAGTCTTCTTTGAAAAGGGATATTTTTCTTTTACTAAAAATACAACAAACTCGGTTTGGAGGGGAAAGTAATCTTCCTTGTGAGATTTTACCATCTATAGAAACGTTAAAGCCACACCTTTTGCTTTTCTTGTCATATTCTTCTTCAAATAAGGCCACGTTTGGCCATTCTACTAGATCTCAACAAACAAGAAAAAAGAAACAAGATCTCAACCAAAAAGAAAACAAAGTTAAAGAGAAAATAAAAAAGAACACAGTAGTTATTTTATATATCTTTTAAAGATATGAAAATATCAGTTATTAAATAAACATGGTATACAAAATAACTAAAAATAAACACTATAATAAAATGAAATAGTTGATCAAATATTTCCTTAATATACAGTCAACTTTATTTGACTATATATAAAGCACATTTCTTTAAAGCAATAAAAATATAAAATTATGGTAGATTAAGTTTTTTAGAAACGTAATAAAAAGCATGACCTAAAAGGCAAAAGCAAAGCCAAAAAAGAAAACCCTAGAAAAAAATAAAAAAAGGGAGGCGATATAAGAAAAAAGAGAAGAGATCCAAAACGAAAACAACGCGTTATAAAAGGGAAGAAGTTCCAAAAGAAGAAAACAGCCACTCACACCAAGCAAAGCAAATTAGCAAAGCCACCAAATATGGAAAATTGCTACTTATAGTAACTCCATATTTTTACATAATACCCTAATTTTGGTCCTAATTTTCCTTCCTTAGCCCCTTTCCCAATTGTCTCTCATATATTTGATCAATTTCTAAAGAAAACCCTTGTAACTAGTCCTCCTATATATACAAAATCTTTCTCAATCTCTCTACTTGTTTCCTCTGTTCTCATCTCTTCTCTCTATCTCTTCTTTACCCTGTTTTTTTGATTCTACAGAGCCCAGATTGATTGATTTTGTTGTTCAGAGAGATATGGGGAGAGGAAGGATTGAGATTAAGAAGATTGAGAATGTCAACAGTCGTCAAGTCACTTTCTCTAAACGACGAAACGGTTTGATGAAGAAGGCTAAAGAGCTTTCGATTCTCTGTGACGCCGAGGTTGCTCTTATCATCTTCTCCAGCACCGGCAAGATTTACGATTTCTCCAGCGGCTGGTAACTAAATCATCATCATCTCATGATTTTGTGTTTTTCTTTTTCTGGGGAAATAAAAAGATTTGCTTTTTTTGGGTTTTTGTGTCTAAAGCAATTGAAAACAGAGCAAACCCTGTTTATATTGTCTCGATGATGCTAATCTGGCTAAATCTTGAGGTTGATGATGAAATCTTTTTGATGGGTTTAAGGTTTGGAGAATTGAGATTAGGATTTTTGCAATCGGATTAGTTTGTGAGTTTTATAAACCCTAACTGTTGAAAGAAACTGCAATTTGGTACTATCTGTTGGTATATCAGTTGTTAGAATCTGAAAGATCGATAATTTCTAAGATTATTAGACCATAGAAGAGTTTATTTGTTTGGGAATTGGTGTGTTTATCTCATCTTTGTGAAAAAATTGAGAATGCAGGAGTTGAGATTTATGATTTTTTTTCTGTAATGATCAAACCAATTAAGGGGTTTTACTAACGGAGAGTTTTGTTCAATTTCTGAAGTATGGAGCAAATTCTTTCCAGATATGGATACACTACTGCGTCTACTGAGCATAAACAAAGAGAAAAACAACTTCTAATTTGTGCTTCACATGAAAATGAAGCTGTGGTAAGCAGAGCAGAGCAGAGATTCTCTACCAAGACTTTTTGTATCCCTTTGTCTTGCTCAAGTTTTTGTTAATTCTACATGGAACTCGTTGTTGCAGTTGCGAAATGATGATTCTATGAAAGGGGAACTTGAAAGATTACAGCTTGCAATTGAGTATGTATCTCACTGGAAAACCAAATTGTGTTTGTTCTTGTTTAAAGTTTTGGTCTTTCATTCTTGTTCATCGTGTTTTTCTATTTGTTCCTGAACAGGAGACTTAAGGGTAAGGCGCTTGACGGTATGAGTTTCCCGGATCTTATTTCTCTTGAAAACCAGTTGAACGAGAGCTTGCATAGTGTCAAGGATCAAAAGGTGAAGACAAAGTGTTAATTTATTCAAGCATAGAGAGACAGTTTTTGATTAATTCCTGACTTGAAAAGTTCTGTTTTGATTCAGACACAAATCCTGCTCAACCAGATTGAAAGATCCAGGATACAGGTACGAACAGAGCCTCCTCAAATGTCAGAATCATTGTTATTATCAATTCGTATACAATGTTGAATCTCAATATTCTTGTTTTGTTTCCTTGTCATTGTTAGGAGAAAAGAGCATTGGAAGAAAACCAAATCTTGCGCAAACAGGTAAAGGGCTCATCAAAATCCTTAAATTAGCTTGGTCTGGTCTTCAGTCTTCACCATTCATAACTGAGTTCAATTCTAATTTACCCTCAGGTGGAGATGTTGGGGAGAGGTTCAGGACCAAAAGTGTTGAACGAAAGGCCTCAAGTTTCTAGCCCAGAAGCCGATCCCGAGAGCTCTTCATCAGACGAGGATGAGAATGACAACGAGGAGCACCATTCCGAGACTTCCTTGCAGTTGGGGTAAACTGCAAACAAAACCCTAGCTTCTGTTACAAGCTTTTATTGTCTCTGAGAAGTTTACAAACTTGTTGGTTTTATTCTTTCTTAGGTTGTCGTCGACGGGGTATTGCACAAAGAGAAAGAAGCCGAAGATCGAACTGGTCTGCGATAACTCTGGGAGTCAAGTGGCTTCTGATTGATGGAATCGATTATTCTTCTAATCCTGGTGTTTAGGGTCTTCTATGTGTATCTTCTTGTTGCGGGCTGTTCTTTTGCTTTATTTCATCTCAAGTAGAGTTTTCTTAATGTTTAGGTGAACATTTTTCCTCAATCAAGAAGGATTTGATCAATCAATAACATTAGATTTTCTTAGTTAAAGTTGCCAACGCACCACACAATATGTGTGATGAATTTAAATTTTCTAAACAGATTTTCAGTGAAGTCAAGAACAACAAATCAATCGTGCATTCTTTTCTTTTCTTTTTTTTGCTTTAACTAATACCCAATTCTTGAATAGTTTTGGTGATTCGAATTTGAAAATACATAATGCCACTACATTAGGATGATTAAACATTATTGAAATCAGAAGTTTGGTGAATAGAGAGTTAAAGAATAAAGAGTAAATGCTCCTAGACATGGTTAGTCGATTGCAGATGATTCAGGTCAGCAAGGAAATTTGTATCACTCAGCAAATCTGGGCTGCATAAACTCGTTGACAATAAACGGAAGCGTCTTACACCCTTTTTTCTGGCCCTCTTCTTTAATTGGGCCAACAATGTTTTATTTTGGGCTTTTCTAAAAGGATGCTCTGAAATGTGTCTGGCATTTAAGGCCACCGACAATTCAAAGGTCGCCGACGGCTTAGAAATAGGCTTGCTCAGATCATCACCAGACCCATACAATAAATATTTCTGTTCAGAGAAATAAATCACCAGAGGGTTGACAAGCGGCAATAAGTACATGTTACTTTTCTTGTCAGTAAGTACAACAACAGTACAAGTTTTTGATAGTGGACACTCAAATTAATACTCGTACCTAGTAATGCAGAAAAATCTTTACAAATATATACTTATAGATCTTCTTCAGAGAAAGCAGCTGGTTTGACTGAAAATAAAGAAAATGTTAGTCGTCTAGTCGACATAAAAATTGGAAATGAGTCTAAATGACGAAATAATTAAAGAAATGTGGGAAAGAAAGAGAATAATAAGCACAAGTCCCGGACCTAAAAACGGAAAATCAGAAACGCCACGTGTGCAGGAGCTTGAAGAGAAGGTTCCAATGAGAATGAGATCCACCACCGTCATCAAAACACACACTTGTTCTGACGGAGTCCCCAACAAAAGTCAAATCACCGTTCACTTTATTTACATGTTTAATGGGAAAAAATCCGAAAAACCGCCATCTATTTTTTATTTGGCCGTTTAATACCTGTACTTTTAAAATTGGAATAAAAATTCCTTCTTTATTTTTTGTTGTCTTTTAAAACCATGGTGTTTTAAAACTTGGTAATTTGGTACCTGCGAGTTAACAGTCGTTAACTTTGCTAACGGAATGGTTAACTGGGGTTAAATCTTAACCCATGTATTTAAATAGATATACATACAACATGTTTACGTAATATTGCGAACAAACTGACATGGTCTGGTGGTAGGAAGCAGTTTTGGCCCAGTCTGCACCCGGGTTCGAGGACTCCTGATAACGAAATTCTTTTTTTTTTTACTAATTTTTTTTCCTCCTTCAGAGAAACCCTAGCCGCTGTCGACAACAAAACTCCGGCCACAATTCCTCCGACGGCCAATACAGGAGATAATCGATAAACATCTGAAACAAAGGATAGATCCAAAATGGGATCAAAGTTTTCAAGTAATTACCCTAAAACACGTCTCTCTTCGTAGATCTTTGATAACTCACCACCACCTTCTTCCCCATCTCCACCACCACCTTCTTCCCCATCTCCACCACCTTCGTAGATCTCTCGTCGCCGGAAAGAGAACCAAATCTCCTAATTTGATCGGATACAAAACTCCCCTGACGGATCCCCGAACGACTAACCAATTTCCTGCTAATCGCGTTTCGACATGAAATTAAGGAAGATACAGCTCTCAGGCCAGACATAAACGGTGGCATTATTCCAAAACCAACGCCCAATTTGGTAGAGATCCAATAACAAACGGAGAATTGAAGGTCGAAACTTTCAATTCGATACGAATTCGATTAGAAGCTGTAGAAGAAGGAAACAATCACAACAAGGCCCTCTTCGAGAGAGATGGCGACGAATATTAAAAATGGAAGAAAAACAAAATCAAAAAAATGTTGATGGTAGGATTCGAACCCGGGTGCAGACTGGGCCAAAACTGCTTCCTACCACCAGACCATGTCAGTTTGTTCGCAATATTACGTAAACATGTTGTATGTATATCTATTTAAATACATGGGTTAAGATTTAACCCCAGTTAACCATTCCGTTAGCAAAGTTAACGACTGTTAACTCGCAGGTACCAAATTACCAAGTTTTAAAACACCATGGTTTTAAAAGACAACAAAAAATAAAGAAGGAATTTTTATTCCAATTTTAAAAGTACAGGTATTAAACGGCCAAATAAAAAATAGATGACGGTTTTTTCGGGTTTTTTCCCCATGTTTAATAGAGAGACCCATTACTATTATTCATTATTACGAGACACTTCCTTCCTCATTTCTCCACCGTCCGATCACGGATCCTAGCTGTAATCAAGGGGGCAGATTTAATGAAGTGGGGCTATGATGAGTAACTGCCTTCTTCACGTATCTTGGCATTTATTGTTTTCTTCTAAGTATTTTGCCATTTTTGGTTTATTATAGGATGATTAATGATCCCAAAACTCTTTCATAAACTAATTTTGGTTAGATACGATTGCTTTGTTTGTTTTTAGGTCGTTCAAAACTAGTATTTACTATTTACATTGGTCAAAAAAAGCATGTTTGAGATACGAAATGGTGAATTCGATCAATTTTTATGCCAGCGTTTACATTATGTTTTCTTTGTTTTTTTTTTTTACATTGTTAACGAATACTCCAAAATCAACGACTACATTTTCGATTTTCATATACTTGTAATATTCATTAAATTCCAGAAATTACTCACCATTTATTAAGAGGATGTTGCTAAGAATTCAACCCCCATTTCAGTAGTACTCAACATTCAACTGCATTCAACTGAATCTTTTGGCTTCAATTACTATTTCCATTACAATTTGTCCAATGTAAAACGATTTTTACACTAAAATCAGGAAAATGTCGTTGGAAAACGATATTCCATAATGATTAATCATGTTATTGGTAACCAATAAATACTCCATGTAAAAGAGCTTCAGAAATCCGAATACGTAATGCAACTTAACCGGTCAATGTAATTATTTTACATACAGAAAAAGTAGAGTGAGAACGGTCAAACTTTGTTTTCTTAAAAAGAAAATTAGGCACATCCTTTGAAAAAATCTGGTTTAATTACTATACACATAAGTACTCTCTCTTTAAAAGCTTTGATACACTGAATTTAATAAGGAAGGTTCTCACTTCTCATTAATATGAATTTATCATTTTTTTATATAGGAAGCACATTGCGCAATAAACATGTGATCGTATTCATAACTAAAGTAAAGGCAACATACCATAAAACTAACCTCTTTATTTACTTTTTTTTTTAACACAAGAGCTCAAAATGAAAACAATATCCGATTATTTTCTGTAAAATGTTAACTACTGTATATTTGTGAATATCTCAGTTTATTTACATTTATCTATAAATGTATCATTTACATTTGTGTTTATCTTTATTTAACAAACTTAGATTTAGTGAAATCTCTATATAGATTTACGGATCTTCTAACTTCACTTTTAGGGTCTCTTACTAATAACTTTCCTCTCTAAATTTTAAGTTAAATTTAAAATTCGACATCATGGGGTCGTTAATTAAAAACATCCCTTGATTTAATATCCACCATATTTGTTGTCGTTACCAAAAATAATAATCTGACCCGGAAGACCCGACCCGGCTTTCCTTTTTCGTTGTTATCTTCATTAAAATAAATCAAACAGAAGAAATAATTTTGATGCAAAAAAAGGCCAAAATTCGAGAAGAAAGCCAAAAAGAAAATGCTCTCAGTCTCAGCCTCTCTTCACCACTAACCCCAGAAGAATTCTCAGAGAGAGAGAATCAATGGGTTTGATATCAGCGAAGGAGACGAAGAACAACACTAGAGGAATGGGTTTGCTCCTAGTCTTCTTCCCCGACCACCACAACAACGACGACTCTCCTTCTTCTTCTTCTCCGGCAACAACTCTCCTCCGGTCCAGATCTTCTCGTCTTCTCCTCTCCAAAGCTCAATCCACAATCTCAATCTGTATCCTCCTCCTCTTCCTCACTCTCTTCCTCTTCACTCTCTCCACCTTCGAACCTTCCTCTGGCTTTCCCGCCGTTTCTTCTCGTCCTCACCGTCGATTTCTCCTCAATCGCGACATCTCCGGCTCTGAATCTCGTCGTCGTTATAACCGATTCGCTCTCCAAGGGATGGGTACTCTGTTTCTCAGAGGAACCAAGAGCATGCACGATTTGATTGTTGCTCATGTAGCTTCCGATACGACGGAAGACGATCTCCGTCTCTTCATGCGGTTGCTTCACCGCTCCGGAGTCACTTCCAAATCCGACGTCGTCCTACTCTTCAATTCTCCTTCTTCCGGTTCGAGATTCACCGAATTGATCGAAGAAGAGAACGACTCCTTCTTAAAACTCGTCGATGTTCATCGGAATTCGAATTCGTCGAATCAAATCGACTCCGTTTGGGGATTCAATCTGGCGAAATTCATGAAGAAGCAATCGAGTAAGAAGGAGACATCATCGTCCGAGCCAATTTGGGGGAAGAAGACTCATCGAGCGAATAATTTCAACGATTCGTCGTCATTGAACAACACGACCGAGTCAACCGAGTTGTTGACTCATGGGTCAGTAGTGGGTTTCGACGTGACTGAGTTGGATCCTGAAAACTCGCTATCTGGGTTCATGGATCACGTTCCGATAAGCTTGAGAAGATGGGCGTGTTACCCAATGCTGCTAGGTCGAGTAAGACGCAATTTCAAACACGTTATGCTCGTGGACGCTAAAACCTCCTTGTTTCTCGGTGATCCGTTAACCCGGATTCGTAACCGGAGCCCCGAGTCAGTCCTCTTCTTCTCTAAACACAGTAGTAGCAAGAAAAGCTCCGAGGTTAATCCGGCGATTTTGATCGGTGGAGCTAAAGGAATCAGGAGATTATCGAGCTCAATGCACACTGAGATTGTGAGAGCGACGATGCAGCAGCATAAGAAGAAGAACTCGGTTACGGAATCGGTTGTGTTGAGTCAACTCGTTGGGAATGTGCACATGACGAAGAATTTTGAGGTGGTTACGAGTGAGTCGGTGGTACCGGAAGCGAGTTCACTGGCTGAGTTGAGGACGAGAAACTCGGCGGCTTCGTCGATAAAGAATCATGATATAATACAAAGAGGTGGTGGTAATAGTAATCATATTATTGATATTATGGCTATTATTATGAAACGTATTTGTTCTTGTGAATTAGATTCTTCTGTTTATAGTTACTGTTAGCATTATTAAAATTACAAAAGAAAAAAAATAGGGAAATTTTTATTTTTTGTTTGAAGATTTTTGTACACATTTGACAGTTGTTATGTTGTTAGATTTTTGATTTTTCACGGATGTTCTATTAGTGTGTCCACGTTCTGTATTCACTATTCATTATTGATTTGGTCTCCTTCGATATAATCATTGATAAAATCAGGAAAATACGATTGTTTTGGATTTTATACTGGAAAATGTCGGTAATGGACCATTTTTTGTATTTATTTATTTTGCTAGAAACCTCGAAATTATTTTCTTCTGAGATATATATAATTGATTCTCAGTCTGTAGATAAACTCCACAAAATTTGATTCTTAACGATGTGGGCTACAAATATCTGATTGTAACGGAACATATATATTTTTAAAATAGACTATTGCTTATATTTAGTTTTTCAGATAGCATATTTTAGAAAGTACAAAAAAAATCGGAATACAGCACAACAAAAATCCCAATACATAATACATTCAAAACAAAAGTTTAGATAACATACCACGATAACCTATATGACTCGGGCTAAATAATCAGTCTACGAAAGGAGGCCTTTACAAGACAATTATGATGATGATGATATCACATGTTTCATAATTAGAAAATTTAATTACTATATTGGTTTGTTTTTGTTGGTATAAAGACACACGTCGCATGTGTTTATTTGGTCTTTTGAGCTGGTTAAAGTCAATTTGCCCACCATTTTTATTTTTGTCTAACACTAAAACTTTAGAAAACGTCTTTTGTTCTTTCTTCAATTATTGAAACCTATTACTTTAACTAAATAATAATGCCATCACGAGATTCATCGTTGGAATCGGATTCTCCAATCTTCCCAATTATCTATCATCGAAGCCTCAAAGGTGGTGGTGACTGGTGACATAAACACATAAATCAAAAAGCTCATCGTCTAATCACTTTATTCGGTTGAAACTTTTTATCTCCACTCATTACAGTCACTAGTTATATATGTCATTTTCGTTGTTGTTGAAAACATTAGTTCTACACTCATTCATTGTATAATGGTCATAATGTAATAGTATCACACATTGTAGATTAAACATATAGTAATAGTATCATAAAGTAAATCACTAATTGTTGTGGATATAGATGAAGTCAGTATCTTTGTATGTCCACACACATTAAAGGCGTGAGGTTGTGAAAAGAAAAGATTATCAACAACAAAAGAAAACAAAGAAGAAAGACATTAAAAAATACAAAAGTGGGGTTCTTTCAAGGAGTAGCAAGTTAAGTCTCTCTACTACAATGGCTTCATTTAGAAGCCAAGAATTCACATTTATCCATAACAAGCGTGCTTTGCTTTTTCTTTATTTCACCATTTCAACGACTATTTTACTCTAAAAGTAGTCTAGTTCATTAATCAAATATCGTACTGATGACTGATCAATTATAGTCTCTGTATTCAAAACATTACTAATTTTTAATGTATTGAAAAACACTTTTAGTTGATGTTGGAGTTTTCTAATGAGCTTTGTATACATGGCAAGTTATGGGAGCTTCCAACCATGGATTATAAAAAATTTTAATTTGCTTACAAAAGAAGAAGAGGAACCATAAATTTAATTAAATTAAAGGTGGCCCAACCGGGCCTTTATTTCTTTAATAGTAGAACACTGACAAGTGACAAAATGATGAAATTCATTTAATGAATTTGTGAAGCAGTTTGTTAGAAATAAAGTTAAATTTTCTGAAAGAATACTTTTTTGGTAATGGAGGGTTTTGTTCTTACTACTTATGTCATACGATCCAGCAGGATGAAAATAACATTCTTCCTTCTAAACTAATAACATTAATATGTTATATTATATGCATGTTTTTTTTTGTTGTTGGCACATTGGCTACATATCTTAGTACTCAAAGTTAAGCAGAGGATTATATGCATGTTTATTCGACATGTAAAATTAATCAAATACCGTATATATTGATCAATCAGAGTAATAAATAATCTTTTTTTGTCTTTCTTTTCATTTCATAGGAACTTTTTTTTTTTTTTTTTTGAAAACCATTTCATAGGAACTTTTTATAAGTATTTTCCTTAAGTATTTGTTAATATAATTCATTATATAAAAAAGAGTAAGGACAAAAAGGAACCGACACTCTTTCTTCCACACACGTGTCAATTTATCATTGGTCATACAGGTTTCATTTGCCTTTTGGAGGGTGGACCCTCTAGCTTAGACAGAGTTCGTGCAGAGACTGATATGGCTGCTGCTGACCTGTCTCGTTCAAAACGACGTCGTCGTTCAACATTGCCCATCTCAACAATTCACACGTAAATTCCAAAGAATTGTTTTTATGGTCGATTCTTTAGATCAATGTCATCATAGTAACGACGATTATAAACTTTTGAAAAACTAATGTTTTGAAGTTATAAGAAAATCGATTTTAGATAAACACATGTAAGTTAAATGGTTTTTGTTAGTGTTATCAGAATATCAGTCGGGTTCTGACAGTTCAATAAACATAAGTGTGTTTAATGGGATTCTTACGTTGTTTGTGGTTTAATTTCGTTTATTAAGTTTGTGTAACTAGTGAGACTATAATTGCAGTTAGGCAAAAGCAAAAATTCTTAAATATTCGTGTAGGAAAAGTCACAAACTTAAGTAGATTGTGTAGAAGATGACAACCATTCTTATACGTTTGTTTGAGTCAAACGAATCTTGTGTGTGTTTTATTCTCATTATTACCTTGGAAGATAATGCAAAATTGACGTAATCATTCTGATTCCCCTACTAATTTTGTTCCTTGATTTGTCGCACAGTAAAAAGAAAAGATAGAAGAAAATGATACCAAATTGGTGGGAGACCAGGTCAGACATAAATGTGGTTGTTGTTGCTCTATAAATTGCTTTCTTTTCTTGTCACTTCATGATTCTGATGAAATAATTTAACTGCATTTACTCCAACACACGTTTCTGTCATGTACTATGTGCAGCTTTGCTAACACCGATATCTTGATATATTTCATGAGTTTACAAGTAGACAATGTTCTTATACAATCAAAGTAATGTGAAATCCAGATCAAAGAATTTACTAACCACCACCACACAACTCTCCTGACCCAAAAAAAAAACCCCCCAAAAATGAACACAAGTTTAAGACAAATCATTCATTACAATAACACACCATTTTGTGGTAAGAATATGAAGAATCAAACCCAAACCCCACCCATGAGAAAGAAATATTTTGAGAAACCAAAACAATAAGAGGAAAAATGAAGGAACAAAAAAAAAGGAACTGTTCATTGTCTTCATAGCTGCAGCGCTGAGGTCACTACGTAACCAATAACACACTGGCAAATCGTGTCTTTCCTCCAGTATATATTTGACATGGAGGATCATGAGATTTAAGGATGTTTGTGATGTTCCACCTGCTATTTTTTTTTTGAGAATCCTTAGAACAAGTCATATTTCTTCTTCAGTAAATCTTGCTTCCATCTAGGCAATTTGTAGAATGCTTCTTTCTCCATCCCAAATACAGTCTTGAACTCTTCCTCAGAGAGGTAAGCCTGAAAGATCGGTTTGAGGAATAAGATACCAACAAATTATGACAAGATAAAAAGCTAATTCGGCTCAATTGATTCACCTCTCTGCGTTTGAAGTCAATGCCTGTCACTGGTTTCCCAGATTTGGCTTGTAGCCGTTCGTAGGTGAAGGTTGCTCCAGTAGTTTCTACTTCAGAATCATCCTGCTTTGATTTTGCTTCCTCAGCACTCACTTCTGCGGCAGGTGAAACTTCCTCTTCCTCCTTGGCTTCAGAAGCTTCTTCGGAAGCCTCCACTTCTGAGAAAGCTTTCTCATCTTTTGCTTCAGCTGTACTCACAGTTATCAACGTATTTAAACCAAGGCCAAAAATACGAAAAGCAAGCTCACGATGTTTAATTTAAGTGATAGAAGAGTTCAAGGTATGCTGACATAAATCACGTCTTGTATGGTTTGTACTTACGAATATAAACCCTTTCACTCATCTGCAATAGATCAATTCTGGTAAAGAACTTACCAGAAGGGCTGGTATCAGGTGATTTCTTCTTCTCAGCAGTGAGAACTTGGGAGAGAGCAGCCACTGCTGCTGCTCTTTGTGACGCCTGACTTGTCAATCCTGGTCTTCGGGGAGGTGACTTTGATGATGGTGAAGAATTGAATGCGGATGTTAAGGCGGCTAAAGCTTCAGCCCTTTGTCTTGGACCCCCTTGACTTCCATTTGATCTGTCTCGGCTCTGCAGTTAAAGAAATGAGCGTCTATGTCAACAGATCAAGAACATGGGACACTAGTAGCTGTGATTTGATTCACATGTCAGAGTTACGAAAAACGACTAGAACAACAAAGTTTAAATGCCAGGTTCTAATTGGATTTACATTCTGCGCCTAAGCTGAAAGGCAGTAAGCAAAAGCAGTTTCCAGCCAGATATGCGCCTTAACCTCTAATATATCTAGGGATTCGAGATATTATTTGATGGAAACTCAAAGGTTTTCATAAATCTGAGAAATTCATGAGTCGGAACCCCAGAAAATGAGATCCAGAGCCTTTTTTCTTCATGAAAGTTCACATGATATGCCAATATCTTCGTACATGTATCCGAAAGAATCTAGTACAAAGCACAAACATCGAAAATGAGCTTAAGACTATTTACCGGAGAGCTTGTTCTCCCAGAAGAAGAATTAAATGCAGAAGTCAAGGCAGCTAAAGCAGCAGCCCTTTGCCTTGGCCCTTGGTTCCCACTGCTTGACTGATCCTGCAGCAGAAAGGTAAATTACAAACCAACGTTTCGGGAATGTAATATAGTATATTTCAAAGCAGAGTCATCAACAGCAGTTTTTTTCCATCGCCAGATCTGTTCTTATCTGCTACGTTTAGACGCAAAAACAAGTAGTGTATGTAGTGTCTCCAATTTCCCCAGTAAGCTTCATAACTAAGTGTTTACCTCCACAACGTGGTGTGTACCAAGTAATAATGCTGCCTTCTTTTGGAAGGAATTCCCTTGCACCTGTATGACAGGTAAACATACCAAAGCTAAATTTAATGAGAAAAAGTAGTGGAAGTTAACAAAAATTCAATGACAATCAGAGTTAATTTCGAATGTTCTGGCAGCTTTCCCATCAGTTTAATGTAAATCTTTGTTCCTCTATAAATGCAGAGCTTCCTCAGTTTTAATTAGTCTACTGGTCATTTTAACAAAGGAGATGTGCACTATAACGTCATTCTATATAAGGGTGCTGAAAACAGAACTGGCATTTGCGTACAGTGTAACAAACTTAATTGCTTTTAAATGAGTATGTTCCCAAACCCTCTCTAACACAATCACATTAACTACCACCCTAATAAAAATAGACCCCTTTCTCATGCTAATAACCCAAAAGATATCTGCAAACAGAAACCTTACAGTAGCTTTAGTAGAATCCCATGAAAAATAAGTGGTGAAGAAGCATGGTTCATTTCCCTCAGTGATTTTGTATAATGGAACTTTTGGAGACAAGCCTTCCAGGGAACCAGCCAGATTTATGTATCTCTGCGCAAAACTGTACACTAAGCATACAAGACAGAAAAGCAATAACTTATGCTGAGAAGCAAAATTGATGAAGCATATTACTTGGCCAATCTCAAAGGCAGTTTGTTTTTCCTTGGGATCCACACATTGACCAACCCAGACAAAAACTTCAGCATGAGTATCTAGTAAATGCATTTCCTCCGTCAAGAGGTCATCTTGATCAAAGTTGTGAATCTCTTCAACCTGTGCAAGGTAATGTTATAACATGCACACACCTTGATAAAATAACGTTGAATATTTATCTAAATTCTCACCTGAAACTTTCCTGTGGATCCATGTAGACACATTGAAAAGAAGAAGACAAAGTCAGAATATGCAAGTTTATCAACAACAATATGACCCTATTAGAGATGCTTCGACCTTCATAATTGATGTCCCGACTTTAATTACCTTTGTTGAATGAAAAGGAGAACAAGTGAGGATCCCTGACCGTCTCAGAGGAAACCTTCTTGCTGGTGAAGTTCTGTTTTCCCCCAAGTGCAAACCAAAAGGACGAGCTCTCTGTCCCCTCTTTTGCGTGCTTGATAGTAATCCCAGGCTGACTTAGCAAGAACGAAGATGATTAAATTTACGAGTTAAAGAAATATTATAAGAAGTACGAGTGAGTTGTTACTACTTAGACAATTTCAGCTAAATTAAAATCAAAGATAACACCACTAGAAACTACCTTTAAGAATTCAGCAACTTTAGCAGCCAGTTCTTGCTGCTCATGCGTACTATGGTTTCCAACCCAAAGGAACATGGAAGTACCAGATTGCAGAAGGAAGCAGTCATAAGAGTTCAAAGAAGTTGCCACCTGCGGAAAGGATTGCACAAATGTCACAGACAATATGCTACAGAATACTGAAAGCAAAATGTAATATGCGTCGTTCTTAATACAAACTAACAACATCTAGGCATCATTTTTCAGATTCTAACATTACACGAATAGGTAGCCAAGTTTTGAACATTGTAAGGTAGAAAAAGCACTTAGCAAGAGATAAAGTAAGGTAGAAAATTACCGCTTCAACTTGTAGTGCCTTATTATTGTGAACTCCAGTTCCAGATACTTGAATAAGTGCAATTGATTCCGGTGTGTAGGTTTCGTCTGATGAACCTTTCTCTGTCATGCTATTTTTGTAACCAGAGCTCAAACCACCCTAAAAGTTAGTGTAACTATATCAATTGCCAATATATTGTCTTGCAGCAACAATCATCTTGTATTAATAATCAAAAGAAATACATACCTTAAGAACAACCATATGTTGAAAAAGTGCAACAAATTGTGGAGGCTCTTTACCCTCAAATATACGGGCCTGCAAGAAGATCAAGTTATCCAACAATCTTATAGTGCTAGTGGCCATTACTTACAATAACAAAACATGGTACCTGCACTGGTCTTCCCTTCAACGAATTTGTCATTGTGCTTGCTAGACGAACTGCTGTTTCTTGATCCTCCTATACTCGGGAGAAAACAAAATTTAGATGGCTAAATATTTAACATGTTCAAATAGATACTTAAAGCCAAAAACTGAATAGATGAAATATATCACAATATGTACCCAAACATTGAGCGCTACCTCAAAAGTCGAGAGGTAACAACTAATAACAATAAATTTGAATTTGCAACATCTTGCTGCTTAAAAGATTGATACCCAAAAAGAAGATGAAATCATACAGACCCAACTAGGTTTCAAGCTTACTTATAAAATGTCTTACAAGACAAACCAAGAAGAAGCTAAAACATGCAGGCTTAGTCAATAAATTATGTCTTACTATCCTCTTTCCAATTATTAACAGAGGAGCTAAAAATACTGATAGAAGAAACATGGACTTCTTGTTTATATAAATAAAAATATTAAAGATGCACCTTTTCCCATGATTACCTGATTACTATTCTTTCCAAACCAACAGCACAAGAAGTAGTCTTCTTTCCTTTCACCAGAATGGTAG